TCGCAACCACCGCTAAATGTCGCAATAGTAACGGTAAATGTCGCACGATTTTCCCTTGTCATAAAATGTCTCATCACTACCGTTTAAAATGTCGCAAGATGTAGTATATTCATGATAAAATTAAGTTAGCTATAAAAAAGAACGTGGTATTCAATTACAATAATAAACATTGAGTAAATGTTTGTATATATTTACATAAAGACATGTCCCGATCAAGATGAAAAACGCTTTTTAAAGTGAACTGGCCTACAAATGGCACATTTTCAAGAACTATGTCAAATATTGATAAAAACAACAGAAACGTGACATCTCGTATTCTTACCAAAAATGTTTCTCTAGTTCTACGTGATTAAAATTTATGGTGCGGACACGAAATGTAGACTTTTTATTATGAAATGAAGACTTTTTAACATTTGACATTTAAGTGTGGAAGTTTTTCTGCTATCTTCTGGAGGTCAGGTGCTTTAAAGTTATGGAGACAGACACGAAAGTGTTACGGACGGACAGACTTACTGACGGACAGACAGATGGAGGCCATTCCTATAATCCCCTTGCCGCTGCTACGCGGAAGGGATTAACAAAATTATCATAACAAAAGCGTTTTATTATATTTTACAGTACTATCATCAGCCGTAATAATTGGTGGTTTTATCCCTATAATTGCTACTGATTTTAATGTATTGTAGAAAAAACTCGCACCGAAATGAATTTCTTTGTTGTCCGTCAAAAACCGTAAATATACATCGAATGCATGTCAGATGTAACAAAATAGCATAATCCTTTGGAAGCTTATTATCTAATACTGCTATCCTGGATAATTTAACAACTTTCTCGAGGTATATATTGTGTACACTAACATTGTTTTTAGTAGCATAATATCCGGATACTAAAATTCGGACATATTGTACTTCATCTTTGTTAGGCAGCAGAATAGGTCTCAATTGAAAACTATCAGTAGATATAATGACATTTTCACGTGCTGTAGTTCCAAGCTGTGTGCCTCCTGAAAAGCCAAAATATTTTAAGAAAATCAAGCTTGAGCCAAATTATAGATTTTAAGAAATAATTTCAACATAATTTGTGTGTATTTATTGACTGCAGTATATAATGTTTATTTGTACTGGGTGAATAACATAGTAAGAGCTATTTTTATTTCATTTTAGTAATTTATGTGGCTTGTAAGGGTTCCAGACTGTAAGGAGGACAAAGAACTACTAAGGTCCAAGGAGGCAAAACAGGACACTTAAATTTATGGCATTTAGGGACATGACCCACATGATAATGATTACAATGTATATAAAAAGCTACAAAATAGTATTTTAATTTTTAAAATAAAAATTTAATTCATAAATAAATAATGTTTTCTATCAGTTAAGGATTACTGAGAAGGAACCGCTAAACTAAATGTTCTGTTTGCAATGTGTAAAAATTAAAATAGTGAATATTTTAGTTGGAATGGAAGGGTGCACCGCCCTGCCCTTTTATTAGTCCGCCCTTTTGCCACTTAAACATCGCTCTTTTGCACTTTTATGTACCCGGCTATCCTCTTGACTTGTTTATATTATACTTCATAATGTTGACTTAGCACAAGTTAATCGGGTCCACTTCATAAGTGGTTGCTTTATATTAACATTTTACTGATACATGTAACATATCTAGATCTGGACTCTCTTGTATTATTTTTATAATTTTATACCAGTTCACAACTCAATATTTTATTTTGAAAAACAGTTCAGGCCTAGACATTAACTTTTGAATCAGGTTGTCCTGTCGGGCAAGTAGTTTTTAAAACTACTTGCCCTGACATAAGACTTACTTGTCCTGACCTAAAAATGGTAAAAATGTATAAATCAGAAAAACAAACAAGCTCATACATTAATACTTCTTGTTTTAGGTAATGTTAACATAACTTCAATTATAAGGCAATAAACTTGACATATTGTTTATGAAATTGATTGTTAGTTAGACACTAATATATTTAGTAGTTTTTCTAAAACATCGGTTCATCTGTTTATTCAATGTGAATATACTACGGTCATGTACATTTGTTGATATAGGAAACGGAAGGAAAAATATGAGCATGCGCCGCGGTAAGGTAATTCCTCGTTCAATCATCAAGTCAACAGCCGTAAACGAGTCTTTGTTGACTAAGTTCATAATGTTGTTATATTAGATTAAACAATAAATCATTTTAAATGCAAAAACTTTATTTAACAATTATATTTAAAGATCAATATGATTATTAACCTATTTTCAATGCTATCTTTACATGCAAACATCAAAATTTAAACAACAGCATAACCCGGGAATTACCTTGTACAAAATTAGATATAGTCTATTATTAGAACGGGGAATTACCTTACCGCGGCGCATGCTCATATTTTTGCTTCCGTTTCCTATATCAACAAATGTACATGACCTTATTGATAATGATTCATGGTGTATTTTTGTTTTAAAGATGTTTATAAATGAAAAGATGTTATTTCTATTCATTTTTGTACATGCATTTTGTCAATGATGCTTTTTATTTTCACTTGCCCTGTCGGACAAGTGCTTTTCAAAATAACTTGCCCGGACCAAACTTCTAGTTGTCCCGGGCAGTCGGACAACCGTTAATGTCGAGCCCTGCAGTTGCAAAATTTTCATGAAAATTAGCATGAAGATGGAGGCATGCTGCTTTAATGTAATAATATGTTGTATTACAGTACTGGTATAAACACCAGGGCTATATATGTACTTGTTTAGATGCAGATAGTTTAATTAATTAGAATAATTCCAAAGAGTTTCAGACATCAAGATAAGTTTTTAATAAGGAAGTAAAATGCTAGCTGTTACGTGCCTTTACAGTATCTTGCATGCCTACATGTAGTTATTTTTTCACCAGTTATAGTCAGTCTATATTGCTCTGGAGTATCATGTAAACAAGGAAATGAAAATATTGTTATGTAAATAATTTCACGGATGATGTTTGAATATTAATAATGGTTGGCAGATGAAATATATAGCTTTATAAAATCATCTTTAACCTGGACTCTCAATTGATTTATTGACACAGGCATAGATCTGAGTCTTTGCTCATGAAAATCAGAAATGGCATGCATTTGATTTGTACAAAAATCTGCTTAAGAGTCAATAAAATTTGGCATGCTGAACTTTTCCTTTATGCATCATTTTATTCTCTTTCACTTACATTATAAAATAATGATGATGTTGGCTGCCTCATGTAGTCTTGTATAATGTTACAATGGTCTTGTTTATCCTATAAGCTTTGATCAATGAGAAGTCAATTTCACCAAAAATATAATATACCAAAAAAGTGATATTCAGTATCTGCTTATGTGCATGACTGTAGAATGTTGTCATGAGCCAATTGGGACATTTGAAAATTAAGGGTTATCATGCCTACAGAATTTTGACTTAAAAAGTGTAACTATTGTCACGGTTCAGAATTGTTCACTATTTAAAGGAGAAAGTGTGTAAGTGGCCGGATAGCTCAGTCGGTAGAGCAATGGTACGGTATTCCGAGGGTCCTGGGTTTGAGTCCCGGTCAGGCTGCACATTTTTCTCACCCTGTGACATTTGGCGTCCAACGGGGGACCGTGATGGTATAAAGGTCTGAGTCCATTTACTCATTGTTCTCTGTACCCATTAGAAATTCGAGAACGAATTTCAATATAGCGGGGGAGTATGTCACGGTTCAGATCTGTTCACTATTTAGAGGAGATAGTGTGTAAGCGGCCGGATAGCTCAGTCGGTAGAGCCGCGGTAAGGTATCCGAGGGTCCCGGGTTCTAGTCCCTGTTAGGCCTGCACATTTTTCTCACCCTGTGACACTACTTGTTCCACAGCCTGTAGAACAACTTGTGGAAATATTCAAGACTTTTAAGTTTACTACATATAAATACCATACAGCTGACAAGTTAAGAAATTATTTTAATAAAAAAGAACAATTAAGACAAAATCATATTTTGCTGGCCCTAACTTCCCTGTCATATCAGTGCTTTGCCCTTGTGCCCTCTCCTGTTTTTGTTTGGTGCCCTGGTGGGCTCCTATGGCTCCTTTGTAATGCTGATGGTCCTGGGTATAACTAGTTTCTGTTTGGGGAGTTCTTTGCATTCCACCCTGTCCCTCCCAATTGTTGGTCTTTGTTTTCATAACTTACATCATGTACAGTGACTTTTATAATACTATGGATGCTTATTTTTCTCTTCATTATGATTTTGATTTATAAAACTCAGAAAATCTTTACTTTTAATAATAGAATTGAACTTAAAGGTTAGTGAGAAAAAATGATTTTTATTCCATTCTTTAAGCCAAAAAATACGATAATGCCATAAAAATCATTAAATCTAACAAACTATTTCATACACCAATAACTGGTATACATATAGTTGAAATAATTTTAACCGCTGGTAAGTTTTTAAGTTCTACATGTATCTCAAAGGCCAAAGATTACCACATTTTTCACAATACATGTTCATGTAATTGTTCTTGCAAAAAAGGTTCCAAAAAAGTTTATATTATTGATCTTAAGCTTTTATCTTAAACAAAATTTATATTTCATACTTTTAATTATTTTTCTAAATTTAAGTGTTTTTTCTTCAAAAACCATAAATGCAGTTACAAAGTAATGTTTATTACAACATTATAATTTTATAAAATTTCCATAACAAGTTCTTGTGGTGTTGGTGGTATACCAAAAAAATGCTGATTAAATTGTAGAAATTTGATTTAAATTTTCTTCACATGTATGTGATTTTATTAGATGATTTACATAGTTACATTGTATCATTACCGTATTTTACATGTTAACAATTATGGTACACATTATGGACAGCTGCTACTGTCAGGTTGATATGCTTTTACAATGTGAATGTATTATTTTAGTACTAGATTACATTATTATAATATACACTCGACACACACACTGTATCATTTACTATAACGTAATATTGATGTCGTATATAAAACCACTTCAGTGAAAAGGATGTGCGTGCATGGAAACACACTTTAAAAATCTTAAGTGTTGATAAACATTCGTTGCATTCTAAAGTATGGTTAATAAGGAAATGAAACTTTTAATCACTTTGTGTGCGAGGATTTTTTATGGAAGTCGTGTATAATTATATAGGCTTTCTGAGAAAAAAAACTTACGTTTATAAACTGAAACAAGCTAGGAGAAGAAAGTAGCTAATTACTATTTACGTTGTGTTCTTGTTTTTTTTCTGCGATATCAAGAATTGATATTAAACATGCAATTTTTGACGTGATCGTTTAAAGATCGGATCTTGAACTTTTAAGAGATCATAGTTTTCTTATGAGTAAGGCATAGGACACGAGGAAGTGTTTATTATAATAAATACAAGGATATACATGAAGTGGACTAGATGTGGACATTGTGTGTATGTTAAGGATATAATTTAAGTAGAACTACTGGAATACTTAACTTAAAATTTGCTAATTACATTAATAATACTGAGTTTGAACAAGAAGTAAAAATGGATTTTTGTATGATATATACATGATGTTGACTAGATGTGGACATTGTGTGTACATTTAAAGGATATAATATAAGTAAAACTACTGGAATACTTAACTTAAAATTTGCTTATTATATTAATTATTATTATTGAACAAGAAGTAAAAATGGATTTTTGTACGATATATCAAAATGGATTTAGTAAGTTCAGCTTTCGAATAATATTTATAGTATATTTTTATACATATATACAATACATACATTGTATTTTATCATTATTATTAAACTCATAATTACATATAAGTTTTAAATTTGGCTTTGACAATCTTGAATATTGTCTCTGAGACCTTTGTTTATTAACTTGCAAATTAGAGATTTGTTTGAATTTGATGAAGTAGAGAGTAACAATTATCATAACTCATTGAATACTGATGTGCCTGAATCATGACTTTCCTATGACACCAATATAAATTTCAAGGGGTGTCCATTGCCGAGTGGTTAAGGTCATTGACTTCAAACTTCTTGACTTTCACTGCTGTAGGTTCCAACCCCTCAAGCGTCATTTTACAATGTTGTGAGGAAGCTATCCAGCTTTGGATTTGCCTGCTTTACGTAATGTCTGTGGTTCTACTCGGGTGCCAGTTTGTGTCTGAAATAAATTGTACAGAGGGGCACCTAAGGTCTTCCTCCACCAGTGAAGCTGAAAGGTAGCTATATTGTCCTACACTGTGTTGGTACTGTAAAACAATATAAATGTCAGTGTAACTAGAACTGCAATGCTGCTAAGCTTTAGTTCATACATTTGAATGCCGTAGTTGTTATTTCACACCAGTGCTTTCGGGATCGTGATTTTAGGTCACCGATTAATTTTGATGTATAATTCCTTTTTGTTATTTTTAAAAGCTTCTGTTTGACTTTTCTTTTCTGAAACTTATGTCAAACATGAAGAATAATGGATCACTCTGTCCCTGCAGTCAGCCCTTTACATTACAACATTGACTTTGTTTATACAATTTTTTTTTCTTTCATGAAATGATGATTATCGGGTAAATGTCAACTTTATAATATCTATCATATTGATTTAAAAAGTTCAAGTATCTGGTTTTTTTTGTCAATAGATGATTGAAATAGGAATGTTTGTTAATTACGCCAGTTTATAATTGACCGAGATGTAACTCAATACCGTCTTCATTGTAAACATACATGTTGGCTAGCGCTTTGATTTAATTGATCGAAAAAATTTTTTTTATTCATGGATCATGTTTTTTTTATCTGTTATTTGAATAATAATCAAACAATAATAAACACTGTATTGAATCACTGAATATTATAATGATATATATACAAGGTCTTTACAGTAGGTTTATGTTAAATTAGCACAAGCTTAACAATTAATACGTCAAGTTAGAAAATTAGTGATGACAAGTTGGGAAATTGAAGTTTAGGTTTATAGCAATTTAACCCATAATGCCTGCTAAATTTGTGTAATGTTTGTATTCTAGGCTTAGTGAGGGCCCATCCTTCCTTTCAGGCACTGAGAGTTTGGACCCCAAATATTGTGTAATGGATTTGCCTGCCTTTAAATTTGGGACAGTCCAATCAGTGTCTATGGGTTTAAAATATCAAAATTTGAGCTATAATGAACAGCATTGAGGTCTGACTACACAGAAAAAGTGCAGCTTCTGGCCTAGCTAATGGCTCTATATTGGTGGGAAAGGCTTTAAATAAGACACATCTAATTCTGGCAGTGGTGGTTAGTGGTAAAGAAAAATAAAAAAAAAAAATTATATTTCACCATTTTGAGGATTGAATATCCAGATAATGACCTTAAAGGCCCATTATGTCTCATTTTGCTACCTATTCAACACAGTCCTGCAAATTTAGCACTGATTTCTTCAGTTGTTAAACATCTAGTGTACTTAAAGTTCATTATAAAAACATATAAAACACATGTTTGACAATTCTAAATAATTTTATAGATAGGCATTATTTGTGCCAGAGTCAAATTTTGTGCCACAATAAAGTAAACAGACTGTATTATAATGAACCAGGGCATTATCATAGTGTACGATTTTATTTATTCATATCTTTTAATCCAGGGCATTATTTCAAACGAATTTCTTGATAATGCATTTAACTTTTCAACTTTGTTTGACATGATTTTAGATTTTATTGCATTGTGTTATATTTTATTAGTCAGAAGATTTAATGTTGACCGTGACAGTCGAAGTGTTATAGACAGTTCGCTTTAACACTGTATACTAAATAATGTGTTATAAACCAATAAATATTCAAATGTATTTTTAAAACAGGGTCATATTCAAATTCACTTTGGATGTTTTAATTACAGTGTTGTTTAATACAATTTTGAAGAGTTCACAGTGAGAAGGAAATAATTATTTCTGTTTAATACTCGTGCTTAATTGTCTGATCTTTTTGAGTTAGAAGTTGTTAAAATTTGACCACTAGATTTTGGTGATGGGATAGTTAAAGTTACAGTTTGATGTGATATTAGATAGAGCATCTACAATATAGTCATGCTTTAGAGTAAACAAATGAAATTCACACTGGATAACTGGCTACAGTCGGATTAATCTTTTCATTAAAATAAGCAACAGGTAGAAATTAAATTGAGTGTTATAAGGCCTAATGGACCAAGCTATAAGGATACTTTTCAATTATTTTGAAAGTACATGTACCAAGGCATCCCATTTATGTGGCCAAAAACATTTTGTTCCATACATAATGTATGCCTGCTGCCAAAAAGGGAATGTTTATTTTGAAATTAGGGAAAAACAAACAAACAAAAAAACTTTGCATTTGGAACATGGCCTGTTATTGGCCTTGGTGATACGTTAAACACACCCTGAATCCTCAAAAAAAATTTGAAGAATGAAAAGTCTGTTTTCAAACTCATAGTCCTTCATTTTGTTTTAGCATGACTATTAGCAGAATCAATTATTAGGGAGTGCTGTTGTACTCACCATGCCTTGGCGTCACTTTCATTATATTAATTATAAACTTGGGTTAAGCTGTTGTGTGCAAGCTGGTATCTCTTTGACAACTACTGAAAGAAATGGGTTGAAACTTCACACACTTGTTCTCTGTGATTAATTATAAACTTACATGACTGGCACAGGTTCCATAACCATGACTTATCTTTTGACAGAGTTATGCCCCTTATCTTACTGGCAAGCACTGAGAATAGTTGAGTTTGCTTTTTATGAATAGCTTTTTTGTTGTTGCTAAATTCAACACTTAGTATTACATTCGGTTACTACTTAAAATTGACTATTTCATTTTTAAGTATCAACTTCAATATTGAATTTCCACCGGTTCTGATATTGAAGATATTTATAATTATTCTTGGTATGTTTTTAAATATAGTCAGTTATCTGGTGTGACATATGTAACTTTTAAGTAGTTTTTTGTACAGAATGTGGAAAATTTGTGGATTTTGACTTTTTGAAACTGACAGAAATGCTGTTTTGATAATTATACATTTAGATTATGAAGGAGTTACGTAGCAGTCTGCGGAGATCACCATGTATTGAGCAGGGGATGACATGTGGTTCTCAAAGGACCACCCCTAATAATGTCTGCTGGAAGTGCCGGTATAAGTGCGTGGCTTTCATTGCTTTTATTGGATAAGGGAGTATTGTGTTTGAGCTAATAATGTGCATTTGATTGTTTTAATGATTTAAACTTAACATTTGACCTTAAAATAATTGAGCCGTGTCACGACAAAACCAACGTAATGCTGTGTTTGCGACCAGCATGGATCCAGACCAGCCTTAGCATCTGCGCAGTCTGATCAGGATCCATGCTGTTCGCTATCAGTTTCTCTACTTGTAATAGGGTTGGTAAGCGATCAGCATGGATCCTGATTAGACTGCACAGATGTGCAGGCTGGTCTGGATCCGTGCTGGTAGCAAACCCATTATGTTGGTTTTGTCGTGACGTGGCTCAAATGTTCTTAACAAAAAATTTCCTCTTTTTTGTTTTTTTCCACTTTTGCTTTTGTCTATGGTAAATCATATAATAAGTGATTCCTCTTGATAAAGAAAATGTGGTCTCAGACCATGATCAATGATTAAGGTTTGCACTTACAATAATTGTTGTCATTAAAACATTTTTGAGATGGTCCATTTCAAATTTGAAGTGGTTATAATTTTATCACACATATAACTTTTCTAACTTTTGAGGCTGTCAAAAATGCATTTCAGATGTGAGTCATTTCAGCCTCCTGAGACATTACTCTGAGTGAGTTATTGTTCAGGCAGTATGCTTTACATCTCAAACTAAGTATGAGTTATAAAGCATTTAAAACCGCCTCCAAAATATTTTGAAAAATTGAATCCTTAAATAATTATAAATAAGCCTACAGAAAGCAAATATTTCTTCCTGCATATCACTTCCCTATAGTTTTGCCAGGTGATTGACCTTTATATAACAATGTTGATGTGACAAGTTAAAAACTCCCACCCTCTCAGACTCCCTTCCCCCCACCCTCTCCTAACATACAGAAATATACCTGCCATGTAGCACATGAGAGTTCTCAAGCTAGAATATTGTGATGCTCAGGCTATAATATGATCAATGCTCTTTAACATTTATTCATTTTCCGACTTTGAGTATGAATATTTCTGAGTACGAACCATCGCATTGTTTTGATGATTACTTTCTATGTAACTGCTTTTATCTTATATTATTATGATTTTCAGATGCCATTTGTATATATAAATGTTTATTATCTATAATTACTTTTTATGAAAATTTAGAAAGTGGTAAATACATGAATTGTATTGTGTTAATAAAGTTGTAAAAAATACTATTTTATGCTGGCTGTACCACAGGCTGTCAATTTATATATTACATTCAAGGTAAAAATTAATTAGTAAGTAATTATCCCCTTTTCAATTTCTTAAGTAATAGAGATCTATGGTGATGAAAACAAAAACTGAAGCTAACTTTTGTACAGTACCAAGTAAAGTGATACAATTCCACTCATGAATATTACTTTAATTGTATTATAATTTTAAAAAGTGTCTTCAGTTTGAAGTTGTTTCGTTAAATTTCTTTGCTTATCAGCTTGCAGTTTTTTAAAAAATGGGAAGACTTCAAGTTAAACAATTCACATGGTTGATAGAGTTGTATTATTTAATTTAATGCACCAGTCAGTAGTTGCACCCAGCTTTCATCTTCCATTGTGCCAGGGTGGGAAAAAGACTTGGTGCATTATTGGAACAAAGTTTTTTACCTTTTGATAGAATGATAAAAAGCGGGAGATTGACCTTTTGTTTGTTCTTTTGACCTTTTAAAGAAGCAACTTCAGAGTAATGCCTCTGTTAGATGTTTACCTTTTGCAGCCAAGATACTGTCAGTGGGTTAGGGGAAGGGTGTTGTAGGCATTTTACCATCTTAAGTCCAGGCAAAGGGGGTTCCTGATATTCTTTGGGGGTAGGAGCTGGTGTAACAAGTGGTTGACTTGTGAATAACTTTACAATTAATGCCTTATTACATCTTCATTTTGCGGTATTAACTGTTCTTGTGAAACGTATCAATAAATCCATAATAAACAAATTGTAATAATGTGGTCTAATTCACTCAAAATTGACACCCATGTTGTATTTCACTGTTGTTATAATTGTTGTTGTTGTTGTTGTTGTAATGAAAGGAACCACTGTAATGTAACTATATAACATATATTATACTTTATAAAGTGCTTATACATGCATTGTAAGTTACAAAAAAAAATTTTCAAAACCTGACTTGATATTTTTAAACTGCAGCTATTGACTTGATCAACAAGTTGGTATTTTGTGTATAGAAGGAAAATAATTATGATATTGGTAAAAAAAAAATTTAAGATTATTTTTGTCCTTCTAGAACATGTACGTAAAAAAATATTTACAAGGAAGAATATTATTTATTATCTTGTTATCAGTTTTGTGGTATATTCATAAATATATTTGTATTGCGAACTGATTGACCTTTGCATTGAACAGGAAATTTAAGATACAGTAAAATCTGACTCGAAGGCCAACCATTTTACAACAGATGTTGACATGAAATATGCTTGCCAATTAAAAAAATTGAAATATCTACATTGTATTGTATATTTTTAATGGATTTAAAAGTCATATTTTGGAGCCTGCAACAGTAATGAATCTTTTTCAGCCTCTGTATAGAAGTATAATTATACTTCAAAAAAGATTTAGAAGACTAGCTGGTACTCAATTTTGAAGACTCATACATGTGTCAGTCCAAAAATGATCAGTTCAATAAAACAGTTCAAAAAAATTAAATAGAATAATAATAAAAGCCATTCAATTTAATTCATTTAACTTTAATGTTTTAAAATTATACAATAAGTGGAAAACAGTCATTTGAAAATTCATTCATTACTGAATCTTTGGTTTTTAAGACTATTTTTTGTATACAGTCATTTAAGGCTTTAAATGCTTTATTCAGGATTTTGAGGATTTATAAAATTCTAATCTTGTACTGACTATATTGTATTATATTGTATTATTATCTTGTACTATTAAGAGAAATTTTCAATTGTGGCATTTTTGAAAAAGGTTCTACTGTATCTTGGATAATGTGATAATTTGTGATAATTTTATTATTTCACATTTTGTCATGATTTTTTCTTATTTTCTATTCTACAGTATGACACTGGAGGAATGCAATGAGGACAGGGCACCATTACGGCCTCTCAACCAATCAAAACCCGAGAAAAGCCCGTCCAATAGAAATCGACCAATGATACACCCTTGTGTTGACCCACCAGTCTGCGAGGACTGTCAGAAGTTAGAATTATCTTTCTTTGACCCGGGATGTCCTGGTTGCCATGACATCTTAGTAAATCCAAATACAAAAGTGCCGGAGATATTTGCAATATTGAGACAATGGACGCCACAGACTCAGCTTAACCTTGACCTTCTAGTGAACGAGGTGAGCTAAAAAAAGATAAGTAATGCATATTGAAATATTGATAAAAAAGTGAAATTTGAAATAGTCATCATAGATTATAATATATCATCAGGGGGATTTGTGACGAAACTCAACTCACTGCTAGCTTAGACCAGAAATAGTACACAAAATTTGGTGGAAGACAGTTTGTCACCAGTAAAGATTAAATGTATCTTTGTGTCAAAGATTTATATCATTATGTTTAAATGGATATGAAAACTACTGCAAATTGATAATGAATTTTTAATTTTTTTTTTGTACATAACCATCATTCATGGTCATTCCAACAAGTCTTCCTCAAATATCTCAGTTATTCAGATTCAGACTGTAATGTATGGAAATTTTTTATCAAGTTGTTCACTAAATTAAATGACAGTCAGTTTGAAAGCTTACATGAGGCATCATTATAATCTGGTCATCATTATCTTTCTGCTTGAATGAGAAAATTAAAGTTTACGATCCCCACTGAGGTATAGGGAAAATAGCCATGGATTGTGATGATTCTCCATTGTGTTCTGAAGAGATTCAGAGAATAACATATAATTTTACATTCAAGTTTGAGAGATTAAGAATGTTATGTCCATGAGACCAATTCAACAATCCCTTAACCTGTTGGAGTCTTTGCCACCAGTAAAGAGCCTATGTCACCATTAGAGAGCCTTTGTCACCATTAAAGATCCTTTGCCACCTCCAAAGAGGCTTTGCCACCTTTAAAGAGCCTATGTCACCAGTAGATTCTTTGCCATCAGTAAAGAGCCTTTGCCACCATTAAAAAGCCTTTTATCACCAGTATAGAGTCTTTGCCACCAGTAAAGAGCCTTTGCCACCAAGAAAGAGCCTTTGTTACAATCAAAGAGTCTTTGTCACCAATAAAGAGCCTTTGCCATCTCCAAAGTGACTGCCACTTTTAAAGAGCCTTTGTAACCAGTAAAGAGTCTTTGCCACCAGTAAAGAGCCTTTGCCACCAGTATTGAGCCTTTGTTACAATTAAAGAGTCTATGCCACCATTAAAGAGCCTTTGCCACCTCCAAAGAGCCTTTGTTTTAAAGAACCACTTTTAAAGAACCTTTGTCACCAGTAAAGAGCCTTTGCCACCATTGAAGAACCTCCGCAAATATAATAGAACCTTTGTCCACAGTAAAGTGCCTTTGCCACCTTCAAAGAGCCTTTGCCACCATTCAAGAGCATTTGTCACCAGTCAAGAGTCTTTGTCACCATTAAAGATTTTTTGCCACCAGTAAAGAGCCTTTGCCACTAAAAGAGCCTTGGCCACCAGTAAAGAGTATTTGCCACTTATAAAGAGTCTTTGCCACCAGTAAAGAGTATTTGCCTCTAGCAAAGAGCCTTTGCCACCAATAAAGAGTCTTTGCGACCAGGAAAGATTCTTTGCCACCATTCATGAGTTTTTGTCACCATTAAAGAGCCTTTGTCACCGATGAAGATCCTTTTTCCCTAGTAAAGAGTCTTTGTCACCTTTAAAGAGCCTTTGTCCTTAGTTAAGAGCCTTTGCCACCAGTATAGAGCTTCTGCCACCAGTAAAAAGCCTTACTCTTTAACCAGGATCTATGATTGATGGTAGGTTCAAATGGACTGTTCCAAATTTAAAGCAAGGGAAATAACTATGGCAGGATGTCAGCTTCATTGTGGTCAGTAAAATTAAACTTGGTAAAGGGTTTTAATTCAACTTTATTTCTCATTGACATCTGAATCATGTTTATAAACCCCTGGTGGACCCTGTTTTATGAATAATAGTAAAGCAGGATGTACAGTGACAGCTCTTGTTATGATTTTTGTCATTACTTTCTTTACCATAATGATTAGATTGACCAGTGTAAATCTACTCTGAAAAGGACTGAATGATGTATCTTACAATTGCCAGCATACTGTTCATTTAACCACATGTTGTGATGTATATATATATATATCAGATATAATCACTATTATGTTATGTTTAGAACACACATAGTTGAAATTCCAATAGGATTGTATCAGTGTGACATATGGGGAAATGATGAAGATAAAATCTTGCTGATAGCATACTTGATTGGGTCATTGTATCAATCAAACATTAGGATATACTGCTTGTTTTTGTTTTTGATTTAACTTTAAAGCTGCATGCCTCCTGATGAGCCAAAATATTTCAAGAAAATAAGCATGAACATGGATGGGTGACCTGCTTTAAGTATAATATTGATTTGAAAGAGGTTTTTGGTACCTGTGAACTAATAGTATTCTTATATAAATTATACATGCTATATTCTTGATTGCCAACCAGCCTGTCCTTTATTTGCTTAGGATCATAATAATTTTGTACTCGGGTAACATTATATAGAAATATTTTATTGGTTGTTAGTTTGTACAGGATGATCATGATAAGCTCATAATACTTGTCTGATTTACATGTCTGTAAACTTATGCAACAGCTTTCTTTAAGTTCTTACATCATTAGCTGCAAGATGTTACGAAATGAAATATGAATATATTAACCCAATTTCTAATGTTGTGACCAGATCATATTTAAATAACAGTTTGTGGGATTTCCCTATTTAATTGTTCACATTGATCTAAACTTAAAATGATTATGATACATATGTATAAGACACCATCAACTATATTATTTCTTTATACACTCCCCAACTATTACTTTATTAGACACTCCCTAACTATATTCTTGCTTTATTACTTTATTAGACCAGGGCTCACACTGGCTCAAATAAAATAATAGCCAATAATTTCAACTTAAAAAAATAATAGCCACAAGTTCAGCGGACTATTCACGAATTAGCGATTAACAACATAAGCAGTTGATTAAATAAACATTACATATATAAATTTTTTTAGTTTTATAAGGATTCTCAAATAAACTGATACATTTGTGTATATTGATAACTACCTTTTTTTAAATAGAACCATAATTGTTATTATAGAACAGAATAAAAACGTTATAATTAGTATAATTACTGTATAACAATAATATTAAAGATTCATTATAACTTTACATAATGCTGTTATCAGACAACTTTTTTTGTTTGTTCTAATCAAATTTTGTCAGCTATAACCACTGTCAATTTCCACATTTCACACAGAACTGGAGTAGATCTAGGTCATATTAGCCTATAGAAATAACACAAGTTTGCAAATTCATTCACAGAATGCAGCCTTTTTTATGAATAATTTACTGAAAAATATCATCATCACCAATGTAATACAAATTTTCTGCCATAGTAGTAAAGATTTTTAAACAGAACATAGCTTATTTCACCTTTAAATAAATATCAAAATTATCGGTGTCGCGAAAATATGTGACAATCAGATTTTTCCTGTTTTCTGCAGAAATATTCACAATTTTGGTTGTTGTGCAAATAGTTGTTTGGAAGTTAATACTTTTTAAATATTTTACCATTGTTTTCCACTGGCGATTTAGTCAAGTAGCTTTAAACAAAAAAAATCAAAATTTGCAATTACTGCAATTCACGGTAAATTTTGGGTAAGTCAATATCCAATTTATCAATTTTAAAACCATTTTTTTGTGGATTATTGACGGATATTTGATGGCTTTTATAAATGCTGGACAATATCTTTAAAGTACTTATAGTATACAATTATACATCTCGCATGTATTTTTTCACCTCGGGCAATATAGTTAGCAGCACGTGACCGATAAAAAGTTGACACTCAATTAAATGCACCCCGCTGGTGTTAATTGGGTCTTTTGCATTCATTATCGATTTTTACACCTTATATAAACACTGTTGGAAGTAAAAAATAATCGCCAGATTTTGTAGCCAAAATGCAAAAATAATCGCCAATCTTATAAAATAATCGCAAATGGCGACTATGGCGACCGACAGCGTGAGCCCTGATTAGACACTCCCTAACTATATTCTTGCTCTATTACTTTATTAGACACTTCCTAACTTATATATTCTTGCCCTATTACAACATATAAGACACTCCCTAACTATATTTTTGCCGTATATACTATTAGACTGTGACTCCCTAACTATAGTCTTGCTAAATATTAGTTAATTATACACTTCCATGGGCTATAATTTTGCATTATTACCTATATTAGGCACTCCCCATATAAGACACATCTCTTGCATAAAATACACTCTGTTCAGTAGAACCTCCCTAAGTATTAAAACACTCCCCGTCCTCCCACCATAAGACCCTCACTAAAGTTTCACTATAACTATGATAATTCAATTCATTCTTTTCAGTTGGTATAGTTGTAAAAGTAACATAAATCAAACATTTAATTGTTGTGTATTTCTTTTGCAGATATTAAAACGTGGAGGACATATCAATGATAGAGACGGTTTGACCGACATGACGTTACTGCACTATGCAAGTAAGTCCGGTGCTGCCGGTATCGGGGACCCAGACCTTGCATCGGAAGTTGTAAGCATGCTGCTGTCACAGGGAGCGGACCCAAATATACGTTGTCGGTGGACCAATATGACAGCATTGCATTATGCAGCTTATTTCGATGTTGTGCCTGTAATCAAAATATTGTTAAAAGCTACCAAAGCATTAGGTAGGTATTCTTTTTTAAAAGAATCTTAAGGTTTTTAATCCATTCAGAAAACTCCAAAGGCTTCTTTATGCTTTAAAAGAGAAGCATAAAAAAAAGTTTGACGTGTTTATGTGTTTTCCCCAAGTGGCTGTGGCACTTGCTATTTCAAAGTTCAGTTCTTCAACAACTGTATAGTGTTGTCTATGGAAATGAATACTTCAAGATAGATAATGGTCCTTTTATAGTGGGGTAACAAGCCATAAGTAGTAAATTTCTCATCTTTTTATTTTGAAGTATTTTGAATTATTTATATGCATCGTTATACAGAAACATGAGTCCCTTCTGTCCTTTTTTCCATACAACTTGAACTTTAGACAATTAAACAACATTATTCTAATATGGAATTAGGCAAAGCCTATGAATGGGGAAGTCGGTAAAAAATCCTTTCATTTTTCCGTTTTAAAGGTGTCATTCGGTATTATATGTACCAACTTCCGTTTTCACTTGGAACACTGGGCGATCATTATTAATCCGAAAAGTTGAGATTTGTTCCGTTATCGGAATACACCGCCTTTTATCATTGAGTTACATTGTAAATGGCAGCGCCTAACTAGAACTGACACTGAATATTTCATTGATAGGTTTAGAATTCTATATATTTTTTAATTGTTTTTTATTTGAATTTTCTTTTAAATATACATGTGTAGTCTATTGCCGGGCAAGCCAAAGCCCGGGCCCGCTATAAGCTAGAGCCTTTATACATTTTGTACTTGGACATAGCATTCTCCTTGATGTGAGCTTGTTTTTAAGGTTATAATAACGTTGGCGCCACTTAAATTCGCCAGTTAAAGATTTTATGCGCCAGAATTAATATTTTGTAGCATTTGGCGCCATTGGCGAGCGACAGCGGGAACCCTAATATATTGACCCTAATAACTTTAATAATTTGTCAATATTTACTATTCTACTACTTTGTTATTTATTTATATATTTTTGATAATTGTTTTTGTATTATATATACACACATTGCCTGAGATCGCAAATTCCACTTGTCCTTAAGTAAGTAGATTTAGAAGCTTCTCGTTCTGCAGGGCGATTGACTCTGAAAATATGTTTTGATGCCTGCAATTGCATTTCAAGGTCTGAGTGCAAAATTTATTCACATATTATTGGTACTTTGTATTATTCTTATGTATGAAATATTTCTGTATTACAGATATAGACAGTAGATGTACTGAGTTTGATAATGGTACAGCTCTACATATAGCAGCCTCTAACCTAGCACACGAAGCTGTCAAAGTTCTACTACAGAACGGAGCTAATTCTCTTGTCAAAGATGACATGGACAGGAAACCACTTGGTAACAAAAATCTGTAGTTAACTTATTGTAAAGAAAGGTATTCAATTTACAATAATAGTTGTTCAGTATTGTTAAGTAATATGGGAAGTGCAAACCTTTGAGGATGGAGTTTCAGGAATGAATTGGTCCATCTTTAGCTGGACATTTTCGGAGAAATATTTTAAGCTATTGCCATACAGAAACTTCAACATGTTGAATTATTCTGATATGATTTTGATCTTTAATTGACCTTGACCGTTAAGGTCAAAAATGAAATGTTCAAATGCTCTTTACTATAAAAGTCTTCCTCTGATGTGTTTGACTTAAGAAATAAGAACAGGTTGAGTGTGACCCCACTAGGCAGTGGCTCTTGTTAATCAGCCAGTTATGAGTAATTGCGATATTGGGATATCACTACCAAAGTTTCCATATTGGTCATTCAGTAGTAAATTGCTAGACCTTTATACTTATCACAATAGCTGTGCAATTTGTGACCAACAGTTTACGATAAAGAGGCATTATCAGTCATGGTTTTATCATCACATACATGACATATGATTACATATAATTGTTAATATCTGTTAAGAAAAGCCACATTTTTTTAAAGAAAGATTGACTGTGTATTCCAAATATATTACAGATTGCATTCCTGATCCAACAGCCTTAGACTGTGATCCTGACATGCCTAAAACAGTGATGAAATTAAAAAAGACATTACAAGAGGCCGACTCTGAAAGTGATAAAAGACCACCGCCAAATTATGACCTTGTACAAAGTAAGGTCACTCTACAGGCGCTTGGTATTAATCTAGGTGACAAGGTTGTGGTCGGTGGAATCAAAGTAAGTTTTTTTGTACAAATGTTTCATTAATTGTTGCGTAAAAGATATTTTGAAAATTTGACATATGTAATACTTATTTCAAAAAATTGTCAAATTTGATGTTTTCCAAACAAACTATGATGGTTGTATTAATCTTTGTGCTTCACTTTGTCTCTGTTATATTTAGATTGGTATGTTTTAACTGTGTACATTATAATTATTTTTGATATATTTAGGCTTGTTCATTACTGTATTCCTAGAAACATTCGTGGAAACAATATTTCACGTTTTTCATAAGGATGGTGTTTTTTTGTGGAGACAAACTTTCGTGCAATCTTAGTGACAAATATTAAGTTGCTAGGGTAAAAAGCATATAGATATTACTAATAATAAATAAGTTTCTGTATTTGTTTCACCGGAAAGAAATATTCACGGAAATGTATCCACCGTGAAAAGTTCTAACATAAAAAGCACAAAATAATTTCTAGGAATACAGTATTCTGTTTTATAATTAATTTATCTCTGTTATAATAAGATAGGAACATTATGTTTATATATGTTATATTTAGACTGGTACATTACGTTACTGTGGACCAACAGAGTTTGCCAGTGGTGTTTGGGCAGGTATAGATCTAGATGATGAAGCAGGCAAAAATGATGGAAGTATTGGCGGGATATCATATTTTAACTGTTCACCCAAACATGGTAATTCCCCTCAAGTCCTCTTTTTAATATGTAAAAAGTTTAGAGCTTCCTATGTAAAACTCACTGAGCTGAGCATTTTCACTTACATTGTTGTATATTATGTATAGCTGTCCATCATTTTGTAACTTGTTGGTTGTTTTTTTTTTTTTTTTGCTCACCTAAACACAAGTTGCTCAATGTGCTCAAGATAAAGCTATTGTGATCATCCAGTGTCTACTGTCAGCAGTTTATTTGAAACAATTTTCTCCTAAACCTCTTAATCTAAGCCATAAGTGATGAAATTATACAGGAATAACCATTGCATGGTCCTCTACAAAAAAGTGCAAAAAACAAAATGTGTTAAAATCTTTTCAATCTGCTGAACAAGATGGCAGCAATGACTTAAAATAGAAGATAAAAGTAAACAACAACATTCTCCTTGATTTCTTGGTAGATTTTGATTAAATTCTACAGGATTGTTAGGTGGTCTTTTGAAAAAAATCCTTCCGGTCTGCTGAACTAAAGCTCTGCCTGAGCTAAAAAAAAATAAAAACTTCTCCACAACTGCTGGTTATATTTTGATGGAAATATACAGAAATGATCACTTGGTAGAAATTTCTTTACAAATGTTTCAAAAATTGTTTATATTTGCTGAACAAGATGGTTGCAAGAGCTGGAAATAGAATTAAGACAAACTTTATCTCTTACACAAATGTCTTGCACATTTTTGATGAAACTCAGATTTTTGAACATTTTTGAACAAACAGGAATGACCCAAGAATGATCTGTGGTTTATTGTCTGCTGAACAAAATGGCTACCAGAACTTAAGATAGAAAAAATGCTCTTCACAACAAGTCCTTCTCAACTGCTGGGCAAATTTTGATTAAATTTAATCAGAATTATCCAGAGGTGTTCTTGTAAGTCAGCTGAACAAGATGGTTCCCTGCGAGTTGAATATAGAAATATGATTTATTAATAAATGATATTACTTTCTCATATGCTTGGCAGATTTTTATAGAATTTAACAGGAATGAGTTAATAATGAAATTTTATCCATGAAAATTGAGCGATAAAGGGCCACCATGACCCCCTTGTTATTTTGCTTTTCTGCAATATATTTTGTTTGCTTAATGATGTAAACTTCATAGTGTACACAATCACATAAACTTACACATATCATAGACTGACATTTTCTTTGCTTTTTTTCCCCAGGTTACTGTTTCACATATTTTATTTTCATTTATTCAGGTATTTTTGCACCAATTAGCAAAATCAGTAAACCTGGGTCTGTGGTAAAATCTGCCCCAAGTCCTGTAAAACAGGCACCAGTAAACCAAGGGAATGTAGACGTTTCACATGTAACTTCAAAAGTTGATTCAGGTATGCCTTTCTTTTGTCTTTTTTGACTATTGTCAATATAAATGACTTTGCCATATGTCAACAGTTAAGAGACAGGCCAGCCTGTATGTACATGATGTTTGACCATAGTCTGTTCTGTTGACTGTATACTGTAAAATCAGTTAAATTCAAGGGCCTAAAATTTCGTGGTTTGTCGGCAAAATGCATTTTCTTTGGACAATTAATTCTTGGAATTCAGTTGCCAGGTAACAGAAAATAATACAAATCTGAATATTTGTTGATTTGAACATTTGATGAATAGAACGCTTACAAATACTTATAGGCATTTGTGCAATGACATTGTCTGCACTTGATTTCTTGGTTTACCTGAACCACAAAATCCATGAAAATTATCTCCATGAATATATATGATTTAACAGCAATTTTAAAGCATTTTGAAATAATAAAAAAACCTCATATTGATAATTGACAGTTCTAATTACAAAGTCGGACAAGTCCATTAGCATGAAAAAGGGTTGAAACAAATATACATGTACAGTCTAACTGAAATTGGAAAATCGAAAACATTTCATTCATTATGCATGGCTTTTTCATTATCTAAATATTGTTTCATTTTAATTTTGGTTTGCAAAGAATAACATAGGATGTAGGACTGTATGGGAGAAAGGTTTTTGTTGTCAATGTTTTTTGGTGGTGGGGGGAATTATTAGATTTTTATCTCTTTCATTTAGGTGCAATCCTATTTAAATATGAATTTAATTCCATATAAGGGAACGACGATATGGCTTTTTTGTGTAGAGTCTATAAAGTGTAATCTACAATATTAGGCTACTGTCAGGGAAGGAAGGAAAGTAAAAGTTATTTCATGTGTTTTCGTAAAATCAAAATAATTCACTATATAACCTTCATCAGGCTTCTGTTTTTTTCTTCTCTATTTTGTATTCATTTAATTTGGTCAAACACAGAAATGTTATAATTCAGTATATAAAATAAATACATTATGAAAATCTCAAATTGACTAACCTTCATCATCCATTAAAGTGAAACTTTTAATTTCCAAACATCCTGATTTATAAGTCATTATTAGCAATTAAATAATGTTTTATCATTTGGCAGAAGCAATATTTTTTTATTGAAAATGACATTTTTTGAATTTTCATTTCATTAAACTTAAAAAAAAAAAGATGTAGTTCATTGTCTTGTAGCGTGGCTCATGTGGGTTTAATCGGTCATTTTGTAAATATGGGGGCTACAGCCAGCATGATAAAGTGGTCTTTGTCACATTTGAACTTGCTAGTAGATAGTCTGCATGTAAAATTATCATATCCATCTATATATTGTCTTGTGATTTCACTGCATAGAAATATTGCTCAAGGTTTAGATTGCTGACAAAGTCACGTATTTGTGTTCGAATCCCACCAGTGACTTTGGATCTTTTAATGTGTGGACGCTATTCCCAGCCGGCTTACTGAAGGTTGGTGGTTCTGCCCAGGTGCCGCCTTGTGCATGTATGAGATATTATCACTGTTAACACTTTTCATCCATTTGCTGAATTAACAATTCATTCATGATCAAATATTTATTATGATACAATCATGTACATTGTAAAAATAAATTCTATTTAGAGATTGTTCATATAGATGTGAAAAAGTAGAAGAAAGTAGTATGGCAAGACACCAGTGAAAATAAAGAAAATATGTTTCACTGCAGTGAAAAATAAATTTTGACTGTGAACATAATGGAAAATGAAAATAGGCATTTTATTTCATTAATATTTCTTTCTAAATATTTTTAAGTATAAATCTATATAATAATTTTATATATAGATATTTTGAGTGTCTGAACCAAATAAGTTAAATATATATAGATTTTCCAGGCCAATAGATCTGAATAATTTTAACATGTAAATAAAGGAATTTGTACAATACAGGAAAGCAGTTTTTAATTTGTTAACCCATTGCTTCATGAGCATTTTGTGAAAAATGGCTGTTTTCATTGAAAAGTCTCCCGTTACAAGTTCAAATTGCTATAATACTATAAAAACTGCTTCAACACTAATCAAACTTGGCACAAATGTTGACTGAACCATTGTCCTTGCAACAACATGCTCAGACTTAAATTTTCTGTTACCATGGCAACGAGGGGACATCTCAAAATTGCCAAAAATCACTATTTTGCGTTGATTTTTTCCATCAAAATTGATTTCCAAGTGCTGCAACTTATCAATGGATTGAGATAGAGTCAAATGCTTTTCAGCGTTGGTTACACGTTACCTTATGATCAATCTGGGGTCATTTACAGCCTCTCACAAGTCCAAAATTTTCTTGGCGATGAGGGGGACTCCGCCCCCCTTCAAACCCCCCAAAACAGAAGGGGGCACATCCCCCTTCTGGCAACCCCCTGATGTATCTTTTGGTTGGGGGGCCGCGCCGAAAAAGAGGTCAATTTTTTTAACAACATTTCTCAAACAAAAACAAGTGTTTAGGGCCTAATAAGGCATTTTTTCATCATTTGAGACAACAAAAAGGGGGGGGGGGTGAAAAAGGCGTTAAAAGGCGTGTATATGAAGTAATGGGTTAACTGAAAATGATGAAAATACTTGAAATTACCCTAAATCGCGTTTTTTTCATGTTTAAACATGGCCTGTCATATAAATTTGAAGAAAAATTGTTGTTTTGTAGATTTTTTTATTTTTTTCATTAACCCATTGCTTCATGAGCATTTTGTGAAAAATGGCTGTTTTCATTGAAAAGTCTCCCGTTACAAAGTTCAAATTGCTATAATACTATAAAAACTGCTTCAACACTAATCAAACTTGGCACAAATGTTGACTGAACCATTGTCCTTGCAACAACATGCTCAGACTTAAATTTTCTGTTACCATGGCAACGAGGGGACATCTCAAAATTGCCAAAAATCACTATTTTGCGTTGATTTTTTCCATCAAAATTGATTTCAAAGTGCTGCAACTTATCAATGGATTGAGATAGAGTCAAATGCTTTTCAGCGTTGGTTACACGTTACCTTATGATCAATCTGGGGTCATTTACAGCCTCTCACAAGTCCAAAATTTTCTTGGCGATGAGGGGGACTCCGCCCCCCTTCAAACCCCCCAAAACAGAAGGGGGCACATCCCCCTTCTGGCAACCCCCTGATGTATCTTTTGGTTGGGGGGCCGCGCCGAAAAAGAGGTCAATTTTTTTAACAACATTTCTCAAACAAAAACAAGTGTTTAGGGCCTGGATAAGGCATTTTTTCATCATTTGAGACAACAAAAAGGGGGGGGGGTGAAAAAGGCGTTAAAAGGCGTGTATATGAAGTAATGGGTTAACTGAAAATGATGAAAATACTTGAAATTACCCTAAATCGCGTTTTTTTCATGTTTAAACATGGCCTGTCATATAAATTTGAAGAAAAATTGTTGTTTTGTAGATTTTTTTATTTTTTTCATTAACCCATTGCTTCATGAGCATTTTGTGAAAAATGGCTGTTTTCATTGAAAAGTCTCCCGTTACAAATTCAAATTGCTATAATACTATAAAAACTGCTTCAACACTAATCAAACTTGGCACAAATGTTGACTGAACCATTGTCCTTGCAACAACATGCTCAGACTTAAATTTTCTGTTACCATGGCAACGAGGGGACATCTCAAAATTGCCAAAAATCACTATTTTGCGTTGATTTTTTCCATCAAAATTGATTTCCAAGTGCTGCAACTTATCAATGGATTGAGATAGAGTCAAATGCTTTTCAGCGTTGGTTACACGTTACCTTATGATCAATCTGGGGTCATTTACAGCCTCTCACAAGTCCAAAATTTTCTTGGCGATGAGGGGGACTCCGCCCCCCTTCAAACCCCCCAAAACAGAAGGGGGCACATCCCCCTTCTGGCAACCCCCTGATGTATCTTTTGGTTGGGGGGCCGCGCCGAAAAAGAGGTCAATTTTTTTAACAACATTTCTCAAACAAAAACAAGTGTTTGGGGCCTAAATAAGGCATTTTTTCATCATTTGAGACAACAAAAAGGGGGGGGGTGAAAAAGGCGTTAAAAGGCGTGTATATGAAGTAATGGGTTAACTGAAAATGATGAAAATACTTGAAATTACCCTAAATCGCGTTTTTTCATGTTTAAACATGGCCTGTCATATAAATTTGAAGAAAAATTGTTGTTTTGTAGATTTTTTTATTTTTTTCATTAACCCATTGCTTCATGAGCATTTTGTGAAAAATGGCTGTTTTCATTGAAAAGTCTCCCGTTACAAGTTCAAATTGCTATAATACTATAAAAACTGCTTCAACACTAATCAAACTTGGCACAAATGTTGACTGGACCATTGTCCTTGCAACAACATGCTCAGACTTAAATTTTCTGTTACCATGGCAACGAGGGGACATCTCAAAATTGCCAAAAATCACTATTTTGCGTTGATTTTTTCCATCAAAATTGATTTCAAAGTGCTGCAACTTATCAATGGATTGAGATAGAGTCAAATGCTTTTCAGCGTTGGTTACACGTTACCTTATGATCAATCTGGGGTCATTTACAGCCTCTCACAAGTCCAAAATTTTCTTGGCGATGAGGGGGACTCCGCCCCCTTCAAACCCCCAAAACAGAAGGGGGCACATCCCCCTTCTGGCAACCCCCTGATGTATCTTTTGGTTGGGGGGCCGCGCCGAAAAAGAGGTCAATTTTTTTAACAACATTTCTCAAACAAAAACAAGTGTTTAGGGCCTAAATAAGGCATTTTTTCATCATTTGAGACAACAAAAAGGGGGGGGGGTGAAAAAGGCGTTAAAAGGCGTGTATATGAAGTAATGGGTTAACTGAAAATGATGAAAATACTTGAAATTACCCTAAATCGCGTTTTTTTCATGTTTAAACATGGCCTGTCATATAAATTTGAAGAAAAATTGTTGTTTTGTAGATTTTTTTATTTTTTTCATTAACCCATTGCTTCATGAGCATTTTGTGAAAAATGGCTGTTTTCATTGAAAAGTCTCCCGTTACAAATTCAAATTGCTATAATACTATAAAAACTGCTTCAACACTAATCAAACTTGGCACAAATGTTGACTGGACCATTGTCCTTGCAACAACATGCTCAGACTTAAATTTTCTGTTACCATGGCAACGAGGGGACATCTCAAAATTGCCAAAAATCACTATTTTGCGTTGATTTTTTCCATCAAAATTGATTTCAAAGTGCTGCAACTTATCAATGGATTGAGATAGAGTCAAATGCTTTTCAGCGTTGGTTACACGTTACCTTATGATCAATCTGGGGTCATTTACAGCCTCTCACAAGTCCAAAATTTTCTTGGCGATGAGGGGGACTCCGCCCCCCTTCAAACCCCCCAAAACAGAAGGGGGCACATCCCCCTTCTGGCAACCCCCTGATGTATCTTTTGGTTGGGGGGCCGCGCCGAAAAAGAGGTCAATTTTTTTAACAACATTTCTCAAACAAAAACAAGTGTTTAGGGGCCTGGATAAGGCATTTTTTCATCATTTGAGACAACAAAAAGGGGGGGGGGTGAAAAAGGCGTTAAAAGGCGTGTATATGAAGTAATGGGTTAACTGAAAATGATGAAAATACTTGAAATTACCCTAAATCGCGTTTTTTTCATGTTTAAACATGGCCTGTCATATAAATTTGAAGAAAAATTGTTGTTTTGTAGATTTTTTTATTTTTTTCATTAACCCATTGCTTCATGAGCATTTTGTGAAAAATGGCTGTTTTCATTGAAAAGTCTCCCGTTACAAGTTCAAATTGCTATAATACTATAAAAACTGCTTCAACACTAATCAAACTTGGCACAAATGTTGACTGAACCATTGTCCTTGCAACAACATGCTCAGACTTAAATTTTCTGTTACCATGGCAACGAGGGGACATCTCAAAATTGCCAAAAATCACTATTTTGCGTTGATTTTTTCCATCAAAATTGATTTCCAAAGTGCTGCAACTTATCAATGGATTGAGATAGAGTCAAATGCTTTTCAGCGTTGGTTACACGTTACCTTATGATCAATCTGGGGTCATTTACAGCCTCTCACAAGTCCAAAATTTTCTTGGCGATGAGGGGGACTCCGCCCCCCTTCAAACCCCCCAAAACAGAAGGGGGCACATCCCCCTTCTGGCAACCCCCTGATGTATCTTTTGGTTGGGGGGCCGCGCCGAAAAAGAGGTCAATTTTTTTAACAACATTTCTCAAACAAAAACAAGTGTTTAGGGCCTGGATAAGGCATTTTTTCATCATTTGAGACAACAAAAAGGGGGGGGGGGTGAAAAAGGCGTTAAAAGGCGTGTATATGAAGTAATGGGTTAAGTATTCATTTTAAGATTTAGGAAGAAAACTTGTACTATTATAAATGTATTATTTGTAAGATATAATTTTTCTTGGCAGGTTCAAAGCCCTTTGAAAGTGTTGAAGAGAAATGTGCTAGAATTTACCATATTTACTTGTTTGTAAGATAGGGGTTTTTTAACCATTATACAAGGATAATTAAACTTATGAGTTTGTAAATATACATGAATGTCGGATAATTTTGTAATAAATCCGAAACCACTTTCGCCTTCTGATTTCTTACGCCGGAAAGAATGTTTCCAAACTGTGATATTATTTTAGAAAATTCTAGTATGGGGTTTACAGAAGTTTACATACTCATTATTCAGTCCTAGTTAAACATTATTAAAGGTACAGAAAATGTAGAAGCCCTCTTGTTTGCAATTATTCTTTGAGGCAAGTAAATATGGTACACGTTATGTCTTTAAGGCATTAGAAAACGGCTGCTCTTAGAAGTGTTCTGGGGCTTTGTTATTATTTTGTTTTGATTATACTTAATTAAAACGATTGTAAAAAATGTTTACATGTAAGAAATTTAAACAAATTTGAGATCTAAACTTCATATAGATATTGTTGGTTTTGCAGTATATTTAACTATGAAACTTTTTTTTGTCAATAATTGGCAGAGATGTGATTGTTTCACAGTGTTTAAGTTCATCTGTAATGAAGGTTTTACTTTAGAAAATAATTATTGTTTCCTAAGAAGTTAAGCATCATTTTTAAATGAATTATTTTTATTAATATGAGATACAAAATTTTAATATGAGGTTAGAAAAAGGGCGAGGTTGGTCAAATTTATACAAGTGATTGGTGTTTGATACAGTTTAAAATTTAAGTAAAAATAAGTACTTCTAAGCGCAGCCGGAATATTTGTATATATTATATATCAAAGTATGCATTTTGTTTGCGTGAATGTAGGAATGCTAGAGAAGGCAGCGGCTACATCAACACCCCGGAGATCTTCAGGTAGCATGAAAAATATGCCTGCATTTAATAGGTTGCATAATTAGTACAAAAATGTGCATGCATCGTGATGTTGCATAATTAGAAAAAAACAATGTGCATGCAGCGTCATGTTGCATAATTAGAACAAACTAATGTGCATGTATTGTCACTTTGCATTAAAAACATGCATGCATGTTCAAATGTTCTCTTGCATAACCATGTAACAACAGTTATCACAGAATACCAATGTATGAATAGTATTGTAATAATTCAATGTAAATATCCCATATAGATATATATGTATTATAATAATATAAAAGTCCCATATAGATATATTAGACTCATTTCATATGACTTTATATCACAATATTATATATATTTTATCATCATTCAACTATTAATTGAAAATGGGCATAAATTCAGGGGCTCTGTAGGTTCGATCCTCAGGTGAGGCGTAATTTTTCCGTGACAATTGATCTGTGACATTAAGTTTAATGGTCACTAAAATAATGCATTATAATAGCAGTAATTCTCTTTGTGGAGAAATTGTTAATTACTGGTTAGTTATCCAGGAAGGTCAGTTAGGTGGATCAACTACCAAGATATGACCAAAAATTTTATCAATATTGGTGTAAAAATCAGAAAGAAAAAAAAAATACTAAAATCTAAGGTATGAAAATTTGTAGATAATAATATATTTATAGAAACACCGAAATTTTACATGATTTTATAAGGTAACAAAATGAAATTACAAGTGAAACTATAGTGAAACTATTGTATCATTTAAAAGAGGAAAAATATTTATTAAAGAATTTGTTGTTATACAGTCTAATATAAGTAGATTTAAAAGATGTTATTCAGAAATCGGCAAATGTTTCTGTTTCCAAACAGACTCTTATTGTTACAGCTTCAAAGTCAGTGTACTATGATTCACAATAGTCAGTGCTCTATGGTTGGGCATAGTATTCAATATATTAATCATGTTATACCTGTAAAATTTGTTTGGTAACCATTGGATTACATGTTGGAAACCCCACATTTGCTGAGTTCCTGAGAATCTCCATTAGAAACTCTCATAGAATAATGTTAGTACCTACTAATTTTCTGTAGACTACAGTTTTAGATAAAATTAAGTTTAGTTGATGTAGCATTAACTCTGTCAGTCCCCTTCATTGTTTTAGTGAAAAACAAAATTGAGATTTTGGTCAAGTTTTGTAAAACTTGACAAAAGAAATGGTTAAATTATTTATTCATGGTTATTCATGAAGCATGGACATTTGCTTTTTATGCCAAATCGCTATTATAACTTAAGCATGATGAAAGCCACAATGGCAGCAAAGCTTTGAAACAGCCATTTGCTTATAATGAAGTACTTCAAATATTTCTATATATATCTTAATATGTTAATATGAAAATGTACTTAAATGCTCATTAAATTTTTGTGGAGCAAGGCGAGCAGGTGCTCATTAAATTTTTGTGGAGCAAGGCGAGCAGGTGCTCATTAAATTTTTGTGGAGCAAGGCAAGCAGGTGCTCATTAAATTTTTGTGGAGCAAGGCGAGCAGGTGCTCATTAAATTTTTGTGGAGCAAGGCAAGCAGGTGCTCATCAAATTTTTGTGGAGCAAGGCAAGCAGGTGCTCATTAAATTTTTGTGGAGCATTAGGCGAGCAGTCGGAACACAGAATTGCTTAGAATTGATGCTTGATTGCCCATAGGACTTACTTCATTAAAAAGTTTTGTTTAAGTCACAGTTGTCATTGTTGAATTTACGTTTGAAAATTTGCATTGTTACTATAATTATAATGATGTAGTCCTAATATTAATGATACACAGTGTTATAATATACTAGTAATTAGAATTAACCTAAATGTAGAAACTATTACATTTCTTTTCTTACATTTGTTCAACATTGTCAAACATTGTTTAGTATTGTTCAGCATTAAACATTGTTCAGTATTGTCCAGCATTATTTGTAACAACTCACAGTGCATTTACAGCATTATATTCTGCATGATAAAAAACAAAATGAAGGAAAAAAGAACATTATTTGCATGTTGAATTTTACCATTTGCTATTGTTTATTGTGCATGATTTACTGATTGATTGGTTGTAATATTACCATATTAAATTTACCAACATTATTTGTCACCTTAGTGCAATAACAGGTTAACTTGAGTCCTATTAAATTATATAAGGAGTTAATTTGTTAACTGCACTAAGGTGATGAATATAATGATATCCTTAACCTGTTCGAACCAAAAGTGATCAACCTTTAAGCCACCAGTATAGAGCCAGGCCAGCCTGAACTTCTCTGCAAGCTGACCTCAGAGGTTCTGAACTGGTGGTAGTTCAATAACTCTATTTTGACATTGGAATTCTGCAGGTTAGGGGTTAAGAAAAGTACAACAGATATATATGTTTAATAAATCTTTCTTTTTAATAGTTGTATATTAAAATATAATATGTACTTCTTTGTCTATTGACTTTATCTTGTAAAAATATTATTTTCAATGCCATATACCTCTTTTAAAGTTTGTAATTTGACCATAGTATTACCATGTGACTACACTCTATATACCAGCACATACTCCTTTTGCCATTTCCCCAGTTATTTTTACCCATAATTATACTGCACAGTATGCTTACATGTCATGAAGTGTCCATTTTTATGGTCAATTTCTATAAATAGTAACCAATACCATGTACATTGTATAAAAGGAGTTGTTTGCTCAAGCTAGCGTTTACTGTTACCTATATAAAACAATGTTATTATATTTGTCAGTGTGAAAAGTTTTTTCCATTTCATGGTATTTAAAAGAACAAGATGTATTATAACAAATTAAGGTCACTACAATTAAAGGTTTATGTCAGAGTAAGCTTTTGTGTTTGGTTAGAATGTAGTCCAAGAATATGACAAACTCCTTGCAGCGGTTACTTCCCTTTTATCAGTACAGTTTTTCAAAGCATGAAGGGGAGATTGTGTGGAGATTGAAAATATGAATATAGTTATCTCCCCTGACATTTCTGTTAAGAATTGAAACCATTGACTGTTTGGCCAGACAGAATACTCTAGCATCATTGATTAACTGCAATATTGTAAATTCATCGTGCAGTTGAAAATTGAAATCCCTTTATGCCAAGTTTCTTATCTACTAATTTATATTGAGGACATTGTGCAAAACTGTTATTAACTCATTATACATGTATATAATGACATAAAGAAGATTAAAAGTTACAGAAGTTTTGTACCATGCAGTAGAATTTTTTTATTTCTAATAGCTTCCAGTGATATTGAAACAGTTTGAAAGGCTTTTGGTTCAATAATGTAATTTTAGTATGCCAATCTAATTTTAGGTGTATTTCAACACTTTAATTTTATTATTATATAACCTTATTAGTTAAGACATTTCAAGAAATGACATTTACTCTACAGGTTTAAGTAAATCTCGAACATCGTCAATATCATCATTAGCGGAGATAGAGGTCGGAGATCGGGTCATTGTTGCCGGCCAGAGGAAAGGCACTATAAAGTTTGTTGGTGAAACGAAGTTTGCACCAGGTAATGTTTTTAAATAGGATTTTTAGATTGTTTTAACGAATATGACTTCTATAAAAATTTGTTCTATTTTTAAAAGTAAATATGAGTATTGTTTTACACATTGGATACTTGTCACATGACTAAACGTATGTGGTAAATCAGGCTAGATTATTTGAATTTGATTATAATTGTTTTAACACCAATAAAAAATGTCGATATCATATGAATAAATTTGTGTCCAATTTCAAAATATGGGAAGTGTATCAAATTTGCTCTTTGTAGGAATTTGCCTGTTTAGAAACATTCTGAACAATTAGTCTTGTTACCATTACCTCTGAAATGCTGCTAATCTTGATTTTTTTCAAATTGTTATAATTAAACTCTAGTCAATGAATGTTAAAAAATGGTTTTATTGCATCTAACAAAAATGGTTCCAGTTATTTCTTTATAAACATCATAAAACATTTAAGTTTGAAAGAGAAGGTTTATTTTCTTGTTTTTTTTTTAAGAATAGAATTGTTCACCTGTAAAGTTTCTGGTATGATACTTTCAGTTTGTTTAAGTATCAAATTTAGTATGACTTTTATATAGTTACAATCTGTTATAGGATTTTGCATTATGGTCCGTTTGGACAGACTGTTTAAGAGAAAATGGAAGAAAAAGCGGTATTTGTAGAAATGTTGGCTGTTCTTTTCTTTAAAGAAGGGTTTTTTGTTAACTCTAGTGGAACACAGTTTATATTATAGATTTTTAGTACTTATTCCTTTTGGCATTTTGATACATTTTTACAGTTAAATGTATTTACAAAAACATTAAGCCTTAAGTTGAGCTTGTTTGGCAACCCACTGCATGAATATAATCGATATTATATTTAAAATGTAATGAATAATGCATACTTATTTGGAAATTTGATATAAAATTTTGCTATTTTTTAGGTTACAGTTATACTATTTTTGCTTAAACATTTTGAAAACTTGAAAATTTATTATAGCAGTTGAATAGCCAAAGGAATTAGTAAGAAATTTTAAACTTTGCATTGTTTTATGTGAATTTTTACATGTTATGATAATTTTTACATAGATATACAGTTGACTCTCAATAAGTCAAAATCGCTTTACTCAAAATTCCGCCTTAGTCGAATTATTTCTAAAGTCCCGTCAAATTTCCTTCTTTATCTTTGTATTTTAACTCCGCATAGGTCAAATTTTGACTTACCGAGACTCCTGTTTAGTCGAAAAGAAAAATTTGGTCCCTCAATTAAAGTCCAACATATTTACATCTCAATAAGTCGAAGTGTGAAAACAACCGACTGATCAAAGGTCGGCAACATCAAGGTGAGATGTTGTCACTAACATGATTTACACGTTTCATAGTAATTTTTAATTGCCGGTTATCATGTATTATTAACACATCGTAAAAGTGGCTTTAATCAGTTTCAGGACTTAATTTGTTTTAACAGTTAGATAACTAAATTAAAATTTAATTACATTTCTTAAAGAAAGTTGACTCGTGCCAGTCTGATGGGTGTTAGTCAAATAACAGCCTAGGTATTGATGTGTGTTATCAACGTAAAGGACATTAATTTTGTTTAATTAATTATCTGTCATATTTGTAATTCCGGTTCACGATAGTTGCTAATTTCATTTTCGTCCGATGATGAATTAAATCAAATGTAATTGTGTTTTTCTGTTTCACTATTAATATACATGTATTAAATTTTGAATGATATATTTTTGTTCATTTATAATTTGTAGTTGTAATTGATTTACCGTCATTTCAATGGTTAAATATTGCAGCATTGCCGCTAACAACAATAACAAACCTACTCCTTTGCACATTCAATCAGGCACATGTATATACATGTAATGGTGGTAGTTCCACGTTACTCGAATTCCGTTTCTCTCGAAGTTAAATGCCCAGTCCCTTGGATTTCGAGTTACCGAAAGTCAACTGTATTTCTATATTTGTATGATATTTTAATTAAAGGTAGTCTTCTGTTTAGTGTGCTAGATTTTGAGGGTATTATGATTATTAATTTAAAAGTTAACCTTTTTAGTTTAAAGTAGAAATGACAATATAATATCTTATTGAAGGTGACTTTGTTGACAGAGTATAGTAAGGGTTGCATTCTTTGAATCACTAATCCCATGCAACTGCAGGTTCAAATCCTGTCAGATAAATTAAATTCTTTCATTGGACCAAACTTAGTCTCTCAGTAGTTGGTTGTAAAACTCTGTTGCCTTCTCAGGTCTTAGTAACCTCGACCATTATAGCTGGAGTATCAGGGCTCGCACTGGCAGGAACATGCAACCAATGAGCAAATTGGCTCCAAAATTAATAAATTGGCTCAAGAAAATCATGATTGGCTCAAACATACGGAAAGTACGACTTTTGGAATCTCCCGTTTAAATTTAGCCTGGAGAGTTCCCTTTTGTCTATAGTGTTGATATGTGATTCAACCAAACAAAAAAATATTTTTCTGATTGTAGAACATGTAGTGGATGGTGTATGTTTTTTTTATAGGAATATGGTATGGTATAGAGTTAGACAGGGCTGCGGGCAAAAATGACGGATCAGTGAATGGAATGAAATATTTCACATGTAAAATGAAACATGGCGTGTTTGCTCCATTGTCAAGAATTCAAAAGTAAGTTTTATACATTGACAATATGAGATATTAAACTGTGATTTGTTTTCATGTATCATAGATGGCGTGTTTTTGATTTTTGACATATAGAAGTGCACAATTTTCACTTTTAATTAAAATGTATTATATTTACATTGGTTTAATGATATATGCAAATTTTGGTTTTACTGAGGATAAGAGTATGCTGACAAACAAAAATCTCTGAATATTAGTTGGTTTTTTAATCCTTAATTCTAAATTTAAATATAATTATGTACAAAATAATATTAAATCTTGTTTCATGTTTGAAGGTTTACATTGTACATTTAGTACTTGAATGGTATTAATTATAAATGGTAATCATGTTTAATATATTAGCATAATAATGTGTTATACTTTCTTTGACTTAGAGAACACATTAAGAGAAAAAGGTGAAATAATTTTGTATACAAAGTTTTTAAGCAATTCCAATTGGTCAAATAGTTCCCTTGCTTAAAATAAGAACCTTTAAAAAACCTTCCTATTTTTTTTCAAAGAGAACTATGCTATTTTTTAACTTTCCCTGCATTTATCATATACCCTGCAAAAATTGTTCTCAGTCTCTTTAAAAATGTGCAATTCATTCATCAAAACTTTGAAATAAAAACTAGGAAAAACAAACATTCACCAAGAAAAAAGAAAAAAAAAGAAATGATTCTGTCAACAGTTTTTGTAATTTGGCAGACTTTGTCATTTTCAGTATTCAATTAAATTTTGTATATTTATTCGGCGAGACAAAGTTGACATTAGCTTTAAAGATCTGTAGAATTCTAAGGATGTGGCTGACATTTGTTTTGTTCGAAGCAAAAGGGGATAATTTTTGTAGGGTATATGAAGGCCAGATATTTCCTGATAATAGTTGCTTCATTTTTCTAAATTTATTTGCTATTTCTGCCTGTTAACTTAAGAAACTTTCTTTAAAGAAAGCTGTTATTTCTTTACCATTATATTAAGGTCATATTTTAATCATTTTGATTCATTTATCAGCTAGGGTTTTAATGTAATAGAGCCAAACAGCGTACACTTTAATTTTTGTAGACTTTTAATTTATTTATTACCCCACCCACCTTCAGGATAAGTCGTCGAAAGGTATCGGCATTTCGACTCAGGTGATCTGTTTGTTTTTATTTGCTTCTCTGTCTTTTTGTCCTCTGTGTGTCATATTACACAAGAATAAATCACAACGATTAAATTTACGAAAATTATTGAAAGATTAACCATGACAAGCAGTTAATTTCTGTATTTGAATTTTGTGGATTTTTAAGGTGCGTTTATAAGACTAGGGTATCAGATATTAACCTCTAAATTTAAGGAAATATCCCGTCTTGTAAGTGAGTAAATATGATACATCATAGCTTATATCTATCTGTATGCCTTAAAAAGGGATGATCAGGAAGCAGAATGTGAAGTACTAAATATGGCAGGACAAATTGTCAATTATGATATGACAGACTTGATGTACATTTATTAGTGATTTGGTTTACCGTAAATTTGTGGGCACGGCCCTAATTGGTTCATGTCCACATTTTGCTGGAACTTCTTTTATAGTTCAAAAAGTTCAATATTTCTTCATGCTATTTAATTATACAAATAGTTACGTAAATGATAAGTTTATTAAAAATCATTTTTATTTTCAAAATATCTTTCACGAAAAATTTAAAAAGTGCAAACTTTTCTAACCACTTTTAACACATTTGTGTTTTTGAACAAATCAACTCAATTTGTTTGTTTGTTTCTTTTGTGTCGGTCGAGTTCACGTTATTTTATTAATCATACATTTCTTTAATATCATTAAGGATTACGCCTGAAATGGAGGAGCGGTAATATATATCATTTTGTCATGCGTTCTATTTTGTTGTTGTACTTGTTGTTTATAATTTGCCACCTAAACTAACATTTCTTTGATTTTTGCCGCTGAATGTGTATTCCATTTTTGTTTGGCGCTTTCTTTTAATGAATTACAGTTATATCATGCATGAATATGGATATACGCTTTATTTAATACTTAATCGTAAATTTCAAACTGCCTATACTCAGTTCAAGAGAGAGGAAACAAAATGTTTTTGAAAAGGAAAGTGTGATAAACCCATATCACACAAAATATCTTAAATGGACTTGTCCATCTATCATTATGAACTAAACCATTCATCATTTTTAGGGAAAATTTCTAAATTTCTATGTACTGACTGAATAGGGAACTGAGTGCAGAACAAGTTCAGATGGGATGGCACAGTTGTGTCCTCTGATCTTATTCTGCACTGGTTGTATGGGTAGAAACTGTTGCACATCACTTTAGTGCAGTAACAGGCTAACTCCTTATATAATGAGATAGGAGTTAACCAGTTAGTGCAGTAAGGTGGCCTGCAGTCAGCACTCTTGGTTTAAACATATTTATTTAAGCTCGATTGCGAAACAAGTTCTTGCAACTTATATTAATCACTTTCGAGTCCGCTTCCTGGAACCAACCAGTACTGGTGTCATATGGAGAAACATGGTCGTGACCCGAGTAGGGCTCAAACCCATGATCTCTGGGTTGAGAGGCAGACACCTTAACCACTAGGCCACCGCTCAGCACTCTTGAGTGTTAATCATTTGACAAGATTAAAAATAGGATTCAACTCTGCTAGCATATATCATGTTCAATTAATGGGCGATTGCCACTGGATGATTATAAAAACCGAAACATGCTTTCTGTATTAATTAAAATATGCTGAATTTTATATTTGAGTTAAAGAAGCATCTCTATGGACAATGTTCAAAATTAATTAATGCATTTTGATTTTTTTTAAATGTATCAAAAGTATTATCCACATATCTTTTTGAATTCTCATGAAATAATAGCATACACTATTATATCAAAGCAAATTAACTGCATGCTTTGGTGCTTTGATATCTTTAAGTAAAATATGTTTTTAACAAACTATATCTTATGACTAAATGACATTGTAACCTTGGCTGTAAAATCACAACTTACCTTGGCCATGATATTTGTAACTTTGGCCATAAAAAATCCTTGCCTTTTCTATATTATTGTAATCTTGGCCATAAAAAATCATAAAAAAATCTTTACCAAATGGCTTCATTATCTGCATCCTTGGCTGTAAAAAGCCGCATCTTGTCTATATCATGATACTGTCCATCTGTAACTTTGGCTGTATAAATCCTGACCTTGTCCATACCATTTGTAATCTTGGCCATAAAAAATCATTACCTAAATGGCCATACCATCTGGAATCTTTGCCATAAGAAATCTTTACCTAAATGGCCAATACCATTTGTAGCATTGGATGTAAAAGATAATCTTAGCTAAATTGCCATAAGATATTCTAACCTTTGCCAATAGCATCTTCATTAAATAACCTTCATACTTGTACACTACAGACATCTGGTTAATATTTAAACTGTTAATTTTGACTATGTATTTTTTTTTACCAAAACAACTATTAACACTGGGCTGTGAAATGACAATCATCAATACTGTACATGCCTATAAAGTTGGTAGTCCTGCTTTGCTCTTGATGCTATCATTGGTCACTGTATAATGTAGTGCAGGCTTTTTGGTTTAAAATTTGCGACACACGTTACTTAAACAAAACATGCTTGATAAACTGTGTAGCGAGGATATAGCATTTGGTCAACTTTAAGCTCTTTAACTGTGATTTTTGTATTAAAATAATTGTAATAGAAACAGTGTGTTTTTCATGATTTTTGATAATTTGAAAGATGAAGTGCAGTTGTTCATTTTTTAGCATTTTGAGGGCTATGACTGAAACAGAAAGATTTAGCTTTAGAAATTGTATCATTTGATAATGTAAGGTCAGATTAAGAAAAATAAATAAAACAGTGTCTTAAATGTTTTTTTTACATGTATAGAAAAAATAACATAGAGATTTATGTCTAATGTTGTTGTTGTTGTTCATTTAATGTGATTACCCTTAAACAAATTGTTCAGAACCAAATACCTTTTTTTCTACCAACCCCTTATTTTGTATTGTTAGTAACATTTACTTTCATTAAGAGTTTAATCTTCAATTATTCATTTTCAAATATGAACCAGTTTAAATGTTTCAAGTATACAGCCTGCTTTTCTGTATTTTCTGACAGGCTTTATTCTGTTGCTTGCTTTATATTTTAGCCATTGGGAAGCCTTTATGGCTGGTTAGTTAAGGTTGTTTGTTTTAAACCACCCGCCCCTTACTGCTGTTGATAAAAGAATACAGATTTCCAAATAGAGTGTGTGCATTCTTTAATTTAAATTACACAAATTCAGTAAGAATTTCAAAGATTTCAATAAATTTCTGCAATATTTTACCCAAATATGAGCAAATATGAGCTTAGTATATCTCATTTTATATCATATTCCTTCGCATTTACAATCATGGACATTTTCACATTAAAACATTTCAAAATTATTATCATGATTATACAAATATTACAACTAAGGGCCATTAGGTAAAAGTAGGAACCAAACATATTGAGTGTTATCCACGAGAGTGTAATCCATATAAATTATAACATTATGTAAATATATTTTCTAATGACAGTGTACCAATGATGGTGCACCAATGCATAAAATTATGGAAATAAAGTTTGACAGTCAACTAAATAATTGGAATTAAATAATTTAAATAAATTTCATAATACATTTTAATCATGGAAATTTTAATCATGGAATGCTTTTTTATATCTTTCTTAATGTTTTTGCTACTTTGGGTTTATTGTATAGATTTTACTTTTGCTTCTTTGTACAAATTATTGTAGGTACAAACTCCACTTTGAAATAGCTTAATTAGATATAATTTAAGTTTGTGCTAATTGCTTACTGCAGAACCAGGTGCTATAGGTTTTTTTAAATTTTATATTCTTTGGAATGGGTATTTTATTAAAATGGGAAAAAAAAAACAGATGAAGAACTGTAGACTTAAATGATTTGTTTGTTTGTTTTGGGTTTTACGTCACATCGACACAGTATAGGTCATATCGCGACGTTCCAGCTTTACTGGTGGAGGAAGACCTCAGGTGCCCTTCCGTGCATTATTTCAGGCTCGAACGGGTACCTGAGTAAAACCATCTACGTTCCATAAGCTAGCTAGATAGCTTCCTCACATTAAAGAATCCAAAGTCCCTGTCGCGATTCGAACCCACAGCGGTGAGGGGCAAGTGGTTTGAAGTCAACGACCTTAACCACTCGGCCACGGACGCCCCACCTTAAATGATTTAACTAGTAACAGAACTTTTACTGGTAAGAAATCCCAACTGAAATGGTCAGTACCAAGCAAATGTGTAGATCAAAGAAATTATTGTAAAACATGTTTTTTGGGGAGTTCCTTTAGCACAATTATGTTGTGTTGACTGTAAATATTGTTATTAGGAATATGTTGTGTTCTGATAGAGTACATGTATATTCATTTAAAAAACAACACAAAAAATATAGAGCTCCTGTTGATGTCAAATTTTATAGTTTTTAAACACCTTGATAAATTTATCTTTCTGAGTCACATAGTAATTGAAATATCATTTTAACATGTATGATATGTAAACTAACTATTTAAGTATTTGAAAATCATTCATAAAAAACTATTTTCAAGTTTTATTTGAAGTTTTAATGGTTATTGTATTAACCATTTACTTATTTACTTTTTTTTTTAGATTTGAGGCTATTTTGAGTTAAATGTATGGTGTAACTTATAATACACTACTTTACAAACAAGTACTATATAAGTTTGATCTCTTTGATATAAATTGTAATTTAGTCTTTGATGGCTTATTAAACAATTATTTATTGTATCTCATAGGTTAGGGGATAAACGGTTCAGTTCCAACGAATCTCTCGAAACAATCAGCTGGGGTGCCGTGTCCGAGCGTGTTGATAAACGAGCATCCGGGCCTTCACACCTACGAGACGGGCGACCCAGGACACCAAATAAACGACCAAAGAGTGGCACCCCAGACGGTATCATGAGAACTCCAGGGTCTAGCTCCAACTTCAAACTAGAAGTTGGGATGAGTGTTTTCTGTAACAACGAACTTGGTAACTATTATTTGTTTTTGTTTAATGTTAACTTTAATGTTCTAATGTACATAGTTCTAAGTGTTTGTTAAAACAGTTTTGTTTAAGGCCAGTTATGTAACAAGTTCTTGTCAGTATTTTATCAGTTGTAAAGGAGGAAAATTATGCTTGTACCTGATCGCAGCTCATTCCAATTTGTATTTTTCTGGCTCTATGGTTGTTAGCGAAGTTGCCTTCCTTAGCTCTGGGGAGATATTTCACCAACAAAAATTCCAGCCCTATATGACCAAAATATCATTTGTGTCAGAAAAGATTTTAGGTTTTTCTGCAATTGTAAAATTGTTCTTGTCGTCCGAATTTAAATTTTAAACTATCAAAATTACAGGAAATGTAAGGTACATCGGTCCAACTGACTTTGGTGACGGCATTTGGGTCGGTGTCGAGTTACGTACAGCGAAAGGAAAGAACGATGGATCAGTGCAGGGTAAACGATACTTCTCGTGTAAAAACGAGCATGGACTTATTGTGCGACCAAATAAAATTACTGTGAGGGGGATCAATGGTGCGAAGTTAGTCTCAGAAATGTATGGGCAGACAAATAGCGAAACAACGCATACAAACGGGGATGTAAAGTGAAGGAAATAACATTGAGATTCTTAAAAAGATTTTTAAATAAACGTATATGTACGGAAAGTGTTTGATATTATATAGATCGAAGCGACAGCAAGTACTGACAGTAGAGTTTATTTTTTACAGTGCCTAGACACAAATTAGTCATATCGCTAAGGGAGACAATCCTCTTAGATTTTAAAATGTTTGTGATTTTTTTTTTTTTGCACACAAACACTGAGAAAACCCTTGTATCGAGTTATTATGTTTTTACGTTACGTTGATATTTGAACACCAAAGATCAGTCAACTGTATGAATCATTGTACAAAATGCTTTCTTTTTTTATTTAGTTACTTTGTATTTCACATTTTGCTGACTAAACAAAACATTTTTTGTTTTTGCTTGTTAGGAGTTGATCAAATAGACCGCATCTTCTGAGATATTTGAAACAAAATGTTGCCATATTATTCACATATGATAGAAAAGTAGTTAATAAGAAATATTTTTGGTCATGTGATCACTTAGTGTTATTTGAATCGAATAGGAAGAATAAATGTGGTCATGTGACCATGAAGTATTACTAATATCCAATGAAACGATTTATGTCTGGTCATGTGACCACTTAGTGTTACTTAAATCCAAAAGAAAAAAAAAAATGTGGTCATGTGACCATGTAGTATTACTAATATCCAATGAAAAAAATATATGTCTGGTCATGTGACCATTTTCTGTTACATAAATACAATAGAAAGTTTATTTTTTAAAGATGATACTATGATATACAATGCATACTTGCCAATATTTTGAAATAACACTAGTTTTAGTGTAACATAATTTATGATTAAAAGATATTAATTATTAACCCATTCTTTCTTCCCTATTATTTAGAGCAAATTTGATCTTATCAAAACAGATTAGTAATTTTTTTGTGAATTAAATTATTGACTGTCTGTAAAACAAATCTTGACACAAATATTATAATTTGGCCATACATAAGTTTTTATACTGGTCAAAGGCTCTACTGTTATAAACTGAATTTATATGTCATATATAATTATCTTCCGGAAAAACATGATACCATTATTGCAATATTATCAAAGCTGTGTGAATATCTAATTATAGTACAGTTTGTTAATTGACCAATCACAAGCAAGCACTATTTTTAGACATTTTGGTCTGGCAGTGAGGCTAGCATTTCTGATATCAGCACAGTTTGTTAATTGACCAATCACAAGCAAGCACTATTTTTAGACATTTTGGTCTGGCAATGAGGCTAGCATGTCTAATTTAAGCACAGTATGCTTATTGACCAATCACACACAAGCATTATTTTTAGACTGGTTTTCAGTTTGTGACACATATCTCCCTAACAAGAGGGTAACATCTGTCCCGCATTTACAGCTACAAAGACAAAGTGTCTCATTTTCTACATGTGATAATTTACTTATTTTTATGTATAACATTGGATTTCAGTTATCATTTTTTCACACCGCTATTTATTTCAATCTTCCATTTCTTTGTTTTTTGTTTTTGTTGTATTTTATTTCATGCTTTCTGGTAATCAAATAAGAATTCCAGATATCCATGCAGTGGCCAGTTTGCCTCTCGTTACATTCTTTTCAGTCTCCAAAGCATCTTTATTTATTGATGAATATCTTAGATATTTGCTGCATTTGTATGTTGTCACCTTAATGCAGTAATGGGTTAAATCCTTATATCATAAAATAGGAGTTAACCTGTTACTGCACTAAGGTGATGATAATGGACTTTAATATCCCACTTTGATGGGCTTTGGTCTTAGATGTCAAATTAACTGAGGCTATTTTGTCACCTTAGTCCAGTAATGGCTTAACGTCTATTGAACTTTAAAGGAGTTGACCCGTTATTGCACTAAGGTGACAATTTACATATTTTTCTACGTTTCTGCATGGTTCACCATCTCAAGCTTCATCATGAAGCACCAACCTAAATTCTAGTTTTAAACATCAAAAAAGTTATTCATCAACTAATTTACATATCTACTGCAAAATTTTGCAGGATCTTTTTCTATGAAATATCAACATGTGTCATCTATAATTATATCAATGTTTTTTTTTGTATGCAAGAATAATGTGCATATTAGTTAAACTGGCTTTAAATGTAAACATTGTTTTTTTTTATGTTTTGCAGACATTCCATTTATGCTTATAAAAGGTAATCTTCACTACATGCTTAAAATTCATGTTAGAATGGAGTATTGGTGAAGAAAATTAATGTGTCTGTTTGACTGAATGCCTTCTACATTTTTTAACTGTATATCTACAAGTTCAAAATTAATGGTCATTTGTCTGTCACGGCTGATTCAGAACAATATGTACATGTAATATCGGATAAGTAGTCTGTCATTTGCAGAGAATTTTTAATTGGCAATTACTGGTTAGTTATCCAGGAAAGCAAGTAAGGTGGAACGCCTGTCGGAATATGGCCAAAAAACATGAATTGGCTTGAAAACTGAAAACAAACAAATTCTTTTTAGATTTCAATCAAATTTTTGTAGTAAACATACATTCTAGACCTAGTTATATTGAGATGAGGTACCTTGATTTCGTTTAAGACTTTTTTTGTGCATTTAATGATAAATTACTTTTAGTAACAAGTATCTCACTAGGGTTTTCATTAGTTTTCCATGTTTCCATTATTTAATTACAGTAAATTCTGTCTTTTAAGGCCACTAATGGGACTGACTAAAAGTGGTCTTAATAGTTATTGATGAAAAAAGCCATTTAAAGAATTTATGCAGTGTCTGACATAGTTTGTGAGTTTTTGCTGAAATTTGAGAACAAAAATATGTGTGAATGGAACACAATTCATCAAAGAATGATTTTACACAGTGGTTGAAATATTTTGTCTTTTATTAAATAGATTTAGATTTAACTTGGTATGGAATAATATACATGGACATTCAAAACAACATGTACGGTACAAATATTTAACATAAATGAGAATAAATAAGCCGTGACATTCACACCAACACCAAGTATAGCACAAAAAGAGAGACTTATTCCATTGTGGATTGAGATATTGTAAAATCAGACTTTTTAAAATTCTTACTTATTAATTATAATAATGACCAGCTTGTCAAAATAGAATTGAAAATAAATAGTATTGTCCCTTTCACCGTTACTTCACAGATTATTCAAGTAACAGTCTGCTTGTTATAGATAACAACTGTCCACTTTGTTTGGACTTTTTATAGATTCTCTGTGCCAAAAACATAAATAGAATAGAGATATGTTTTTTGTTTAAGTTATATTTTTAAGAAGTATGTTTTGTTAGTTATTAGTATTTAGTTTGTTTTTCTGCTGTTTTATATTTAGTTCTGAATAAAACCTTTATTTAATTACATGTACCTTTCTTTTTTGTACATTTAATTATTTCCGTGCATGTATTTTGAGACTTTGATTTTTTATAGTGCTAGAGAATACAGATTTGATTTTTTTTTTCATTTGTATATTTTTGGACTAAGAAGCCTTGATAGGGCTTTGTGGTAAATTATTACTTCACACCAGATATAAAATTAGTAATTCATTGAAAACATTTTATATGGCAGTTTTGCTGATGAATAAACTTCACATTTCTCTTAATAATTGGAATACACTGTATGGGATAGAATAATATAGAGTATGAAAGTATATTTCCAATTATCCTTTAAATAAAGATATCTTAAATGTTTTATGTTTAAAGCACAACTTTTCACACAAATTTGATTTATAGTTGGAGGAGGTCAGTGAGTTTTACACAAATTTGACTGTACGGTGTATCTTGTACACACGTTTGACAGTATCTTTTACAGAAGTTTGACTGTATCTTTTACTGTATTTAACTCTTAACATAATTTTTTTTAATTGAATTGTCCAGTTTCTATTTTTGGAATTGTCCATTATCAATTTTAGGGATATCTAGATGACAAAGTTAAGTCAACCAACTTTATAGAGCCTGGAAAGACTGTACGGACATGCAGGCTGGCCTGTTTCTATACAGGTGGCAAAGGCTGGTCACTTTCGTACCAGCAGTTTAAGGATTGAATCAAAAGAGGAACAACCAGTTCCATTATGATTAGGATTTTTTTCAACCCTCAGAATTAATCTTTTACTTTTTTTCACCTTTGCAAGTGACCCGTTGCCAAGTCTTTAAGGAGCCACTTTCTAAATGACTATAAGATGATATGGGTTGAATCCATATGGTGTAATTTCTTACACAAAATATTTTGCAAACTCTTCTCTTTTAGATAACTTTGAAGTTATTCTAAGTATTTAATGAATTTTCAAGGAAATTGATGTGAAAATTCATGCAAATACATGGAATTGTAAGATAAGGTTGGCTACAGCCATGTTTCCTTGTGCAAATTCTTCCTTAGAAAATATATAATGAAAAGTTATTTTTTTCACAATTTTGCACTATTATCTATTGTTGTTACAAGTTTGTATCTTTTTTTCAAGTAAATACAATTAACTTTTTTACAAGTCCCATGTTTAAAGCCATGCTTATTTTCTTCTGTATGTTCATTTTTCATAGGTTTGAAATTCAAGAAAAATGTATGTTTCTTGCCTGAAAAAAGCCTTCTTTCTAAATTGCTTTATTTATATTTTGCTTATGTTGCTCTTTTTTTTTTCAAGAATGTTAATGTTTTAATGCCTCATGAATTTTTATGACTGTCATATGAAATAAAACTGAAAATACTATAATTTGCCTTTATTCATTTTTTCTTTCTTTTTCAAAGAAAGTTACACATAGTTATTTTATCAAATGAGAAATCATTTAAAATATGTAAAATGTCATGAGTCATTGGTTAGTACTGTTTCATAAGTCACTGGGTAGTGCTGTATCATGTCATGGGGTATAAGTTAATACTGTAACATGTCATGTGTCATTGGTTTATTTATATACTGTGCCATGTCATGAGTCCTTACTTATATTGTCATGGGTCATGGCAATTTTAGTTAATTGTAAAGTCTGTCATAATACATTTTATCATTACTAAATGTTTGAACTTAGATCTATAGTTACTTAAGATAACAAAGTATTACGTTTGAAATCGCTATATTTTAGTATGGGTAAGACATACTAAAACCCTGTGTTCATGCAAGTTAGATGTACCCATTGCCATTTAGACTCCAAAATAAAAACCACCACATTAATCTTGCTATGCGAAGTATTCATTGACCGGTACATCCTATGGAAGTAGGTGGATGAACTTAACAACCAGCCAAATAACAAAAGAGTCTGAGGATTACTCTGCCGGGTCATTAGTTTTTATGTATTGATATTGCCGGATTTGGTATCATTCTATATATATTGATATTGCCGGATTTGGTATCATTCTATAAAATCTATTGATATTGCCGGATTTGGTATCATTCAAAAGGTTAAGTTAAAGAGGGTTAAATAACCACTAAAGAGGAACTTTTAGTGGCCAATATCACGTCATTGTGCTATCATTTTATGATAAAACATTGATATAGCCTCACATTTTACATTGTTAAATCTGTGTTATCACATATTATCACTGTCAACATCAAATAAACACGGTTACAGTCCATGTAAATATTGACTAATATGTAGTTGACAATAAAATATGTAAAATTATATATGTACATATGCTATTGTGAACGAATATATCGATATATCTTTAACGGACTATTGTTATTTTAAGGCTCTTCTAAGAATTGGGATATAATGAAAACTGAAAACGTTTAGATATTTGAAAAACATCTGATAATATAGCGGATATTTGCCATAAATGATTGAAAAAGTTTATTGTATTGATTTTGAGAGGTCATTAAATTTTAGATTGAATTTAACGATATACACAACAACGGCATAAATGGTGTAAATATGAGGATACTTGGATTTCAGATTTCTTTTCTGCTGTTGGTGTTCAATGGTAAGTCTATTTGTTTGTGTTTTTGTCTGTTTTTTGTTTGTTTGTTTGTTTTTTGGTTTTTAGCTCGACTATTCGAAGAATATGAGAGCTATTGTAGTCGCCCCGGCGTCGGCGTCAGCGTCCGCGTCGGCGTCTGCGTTGGTTAAAGTTTTTTGTAAAGTCAAATATCTCAATTATTACTTGAGATATTCAATTGAAACTTACAATACTTATTTATAGTAACAAGGTACATCAGATTGACAAGTGGGATAACTCTGCCTACAATATTGACAGAATTATGCCCCTTTTTAACTTAGAACTTTTGGTTAAAGCTTTTTGTAAAGTCAAATATCTCAATTATTGCTTGAGATATTCAATTGAAACTTACAATACTTATTTTATAGTAACAAGGTACATCAGATTGACAAGTGGGATAACTCTTGCCTACAATATTGACAGAATTATGCCCTTTTTAACTTAGAACTTTTGGTTAAAGCTTTTTGTAAAGTCAAATATCTCAATTATTGCTTGAGATATTCAATTGAAACTTACAATACTTATTTATAGTAACAAGGTACATCAGATTGACAAGTTGGATAACTCTGCTACAATATTGACAGAATTTTGCCCCTTTTTTACTTAGAACTTTTGGTTAAAGTTTTTTTGTAAAGTCAAATAACTCAATTATTGCTTGAGATATTCAATTGAAACTTACAATACTTATTTATAGTAACAAGGGTACATCAGATTGACAAGTTGGATAACTATGCCTACAATATTGACAGAATTATGCCCCTTTGGAACTTAGAAATTTTGGTTAAAGTTTTTTTGTAAAGTCAAATATCACAATTATTGCTTGAGATATTCAATTGAAATTTAAAATACTTTTTTTATAGTAACAATGTACATCAGTTTGCAAAATTGCATTACTCTGCCTGCAATATTTGCAGAATTATTTGCCCCTTTGAAACTTAGAAATTTTGGTTAAAGGTTAAAGGTCTTCAAAGATATTTACTTGAAACTTTACACATGCACTTAGGGTCATAATTGGAGGGTCATACTATCAAGCACTTAGAATAGTCGAGCGTGCTGTCCTACCGACAGCTCTTGTTTTTGTTGCTGTTTGTGAGTTTAATATATTTTTGGTGTATAAGCATTTATTGTTGTTGTTGTCTTTTTTTCATTCTCGACTCTGATGATAACACTCGTATATTGTAAGATATATAACCGTGATTTGAATATTTTCAAGTGAGAATTGGATGTATTGAGTGGCTAAAGGTACATGTTATGTCTTTTATTGGGTGTGTATCAAGCAGAATAAAAATGTTTATATTGTTGTTTCACTAATTATCAAACCTTTTAAATTCTTCTTTGAGAATTTTTGATTAGTTATACTGGTTGTGAATCGCAATTCCAACTGCAAGATTGTTGTTTGTATACTTACATTAAGCAGCCGTCTATCTTTTTAAAGGCAAATTATGCCTCAGAAATCCATTTTTTAAAGTCTTTAGAAAGGCTTAACATGTGTTTGATAATGTTTTGATAATGGATTAAGAACATGTTAGATGTTCAACAAGTGAAGTAAGTAACGCTGAATATGTAGTGATGTGTCGTAAAGGTAGCAAAATATAAACAATGCAGTATTTTAACTTCCATACAAAATACTAGTTCATTAAATGTACCATTTGCAAACAGAGCACAATAAGCGGAAGATAGTTTATGTATTTGGCAAATAAGTATTCTTTTGAAATTTGTGAGATATCAAGTTTTTGATATTTTTATAGCATTTCTAAGGCTTTAATAGAAGGAATTCGACCAGCTTCGTCCTAATGTGTGATATATGAGAGATTTGGCACTATTGTTTATTTAATGCTGTGAACGGTTTGTAAGATCTCTCTAACTCACGAAAAGTAACGTTAAAATATTCCGAACTTTCATATAGTTTTTACGGAATTATATACACTCTACTTTAACATAAAACATGTATTAATGCAAACAATCGTATTTGTTTTTGTCGTTATAGGTGTACAGCTAAATCAAGTGTGTGATACATGTAAGTAGTACAAGCAGACGACTTGAATTATTTACTTATATTATACTTATATCAAATTAAAGTGACATTTTGTTGATCCGGATGTAACTGGTCAGTGAATAGATAAAAAAATAGTTTACATTTTGCAATAATGGTATTCACTTTCATATTTAATTATGAAAAAATAATAAGTCATCCACAAAATGTACTGAACATTTCTATAAATAACGTTAAGAATGTATCTGTAACGTTCAAATAGTTAAAAAGAGTGGGTCAGTCTTTTTTTATGATTTAGGTTATTATTGTATTGTATCAAAACATATTTCATTATTAATCATTGGCCAATCGCCATTACAATAGCAAATCTATTGAAATATAGTTACAATGTATATCTATTCCAACTCAGCGTCGCAGCGAAAAATGAGCAAAATGTCACTGTAGGAATTAAAACTGTAATATTACTATTTTTCATATAGCTTTATTAAACAAATCAACTGATCTAATATTATATATTTCTATTGATCTATGCGTGTAACAGTTAAAATAAGAGCCGTGTAAGGCATCTAAATGTTATTCGTGTAATTTTAATCTCAAACCTAAATATCTATTGTTCTTTTTCAGTTCTCAAAGTTCCAGACGATAGCAAACGTGTTTATAAATACGGTGACAGTGTGAATTTTAGCTGTGAAGTCAACTCAACGTCTGTCAGTCACAATATCTCGACTTTTTATCTTTTGCATTCAGAAAGTCAAACTAAGTTTCCAATAACTAAAGTATCGGGAAACGTTGGTTTCGCAAATGTCAAGGTCGTTTCCAGGGATTCGGGCGGGAACTATAGTTGTCGCTATGGCAACTGCACGATTGACACTTTACTTTCCTTGTCTTTTGTGAAAGTTGACAAGTGTAGCTTTCCGGCACAAAATATAACCAAAGCCCCGACCATAGACTGTAAAGTGAACGATTTATTTAACATGACCTGTAGCTGGACGTCCTTGACCGATGATGGTTGTACGATGTGGAAAGCCATGTATAAGTCAGAGTAAGTTATTACTATATACATATAGAACCTAGGAGCCTAAGCATTTTACACAATATACTTTTCATTTCCGAAAAGGTCTGAAAATATACAATAACCTTGTATATGAATTCACCCTGTTAGTTAAAGTCCGTCTGCCGCCTCTATCACAGGTTGATATTGAGTGACCTACCAGTGTGTCACAGTAAAATATCAACGCCAAATCCTACAAATCGGAGAGGTTCTTTCTATTTGATTTCAGGGAAATGGACAAGTACAAGTGTTGCTCAGCAGACGGCAGTGGAAATTGCACGTCATCATATGGAAGCAGACGACATTGTAACATACCGGATACAGATTTCAATAGATTCATCCCTTTCAACGTAAGTCATTTAAGTAAAATCTCCTAAACACTGATTCACGAAAGAGTATAATTTACGTATATCCTGCTGAATCCTTTTATCACTGGACCCAGAGAAATATTCAATTATTTAAACAAACTGTACTCTCATTTACATGAATTCTTTTATACTGGCTCACGGAACATTCATTTTCTCATTTTGAGGATCATTCCACTGTTTGAATTTTTTATACTGGCTCGTGGAAGATTCAGCAAGTGATTTAGTATAATTTCATATTCTCATTTTGAGTATCATTCCAATATATGAATTCCTTTATACTGGCTCACGAAAGATTCAGCATGTGATTTATATAATTAAGTATAATTTCATTTTCACATTTTGAGTTTCATTCCACTATTTGAATTCCTTTATACTGGCTCGTGGAAGATTCAGCAAGTGATTTAGTATAATTTCATATTCTCATTTTGAGTTTCATTCCACTATTTGAATTCCTTTATACTGGCTCACGGAAGATTCAGCATGTGATTTATATAATTAAGTATAATTTCATTTTCACATTTTGAGTTTCATTCCACTATTTGAATTCTTTTATACTGGCTCGTGGAAGATTCAGCAAGTGATTTAGTATAATTTCATATTCTCATTTTGAGTTTCATTCCACTATTTGAATTCCTTTATACTGGCTCACGGAAGATTCAGCATGTGATTTATATAATTAAGTATAATTTCATTTTCACATTTTGAGTTTCATTCCACTATTTGAATTCTTTTATACTGGCTCGTGGAAGATTCAGCAAGTGATTTAGTATAATTTCATATTCTCATTTTGAGTATCATTCCAATATATGAATTCTTTTCTTCTGGCTCACGGAAGATTCAGCAAGTGATTTTAGTATAATTTCATATTCTCATTTTGAGTATCATTCCAATATATGAATTCTTTTCTACTGGCTCACGGAATATTCAGCAAGTGATTTTAGTATAATTTCATATTCTCATTTTGAGTATCATTCCAATATATGAATTCTTTTCTACTGGCTCACGGAAGATTCAGCAAGTGATTTTAGTATAATTTCATATTCTCATTTTGAGTATCATTCCAATATATGAATTCTTTTCTACTGGCTCACGGAAGATTCAGCAAGTGATTTTAGTATAATTTCATATTCTCATTTTGAGTATCATTCCAATATACATGATATATGAATTCTTTTCTACTGGCTCACGGAAGATTCAGCAAGAAATTTAAATAAATTAATTTCATTTTCTTATTTTGAGTATCATTCCACTATTTGAATTATTTTATACTGGCTCACGGAAGATTCAGCAAGAAATTTAAATAAATTAATTTCATTTTCTTATTTTGAGTATCATTCCACTATTTGAATTATTTTATACTGGCTCACGAAATATTCTGTGCGCGATTTAAGTAAAATAATATGGATATTATAGCTGTGCATGAATAATTGACAATTTAGCAACTTGTTGAAGGACTCGTCCATTGCAAGGGCATTTTTTTCCGATATAGGCTTTTGATATGTTGAACCTTTCTACTCCGAAATCCTTCAAATTCGAACCAATGATCCGCTCCCAATTGTTTTTGCTCTGTTAGATAGAAATCTGCCACATCTTGACTTTATTTACACCTTGTTTAACATTTTATATGATATGACAAGCGTAACTCTTGAAACATCCGACTGTTTGAATATTTTTGTTCAGTACGTTTTAAGTAAAATATATATAGACATATTATATATATATATATATATATATATAATATAATATATATATAATATATATATATATAATATATATACACACACATTCTGCATAATAATTTTTATAACTTCCAGATAACACTCATAGAAAAGTCAGAACAAGGGACAAATGAATATAACTATACTGTGGTAGGAAGTGACAAAATATGTAAGTGATGTCATTTTTATGAATTTATTAATTAGACCTCTGCGTTGCATTTTAAAGAAAGTCTTAAGTCTGAAATTAGTCTTAAGGCCAAAAACTTAGACAATTGTGCATTTCAAAGGAAATGTTGTAACTTATGACCTCTATGTTATGACTCTTTTACTTTTTTGAATAGCAATGCTGATGGGCATTTACCCATTGCGAATAAATGGGTCTACCACTTTATTTTGATTTTTTCTTGGGAGAATGTTTTATTTGTAGTCTACAGTATTCGACTGAAGATAAAAATGTTGATTAAAACGGTCTTTAATTAGTCCTAAAGTTGGTTTTATATCCTAGGACTTGGGATACACTTAGGAATTTCTATGAAACGCAGCCCAAGGCTGAAGTTTACGTAAAATTCTCAATTAATCAAAGTGAAAAACTTCGCATTTTTCACGACAATTCTTCTTATAATTGTTTTTTTTTTCGGTGGTGGCGTATTTATACTTCTGAATAATGGAATAATGTATAAATATAAAATTAAGCGCCATTATGACATATTATTCAGTAATTTGACGCAAATAGATAATAATCTGAGACAGTGTTATTGCTTCATGCTATCATAAACATTCTCCTAGGACCAACGTTTATTACAAAGAAAGTGTCCACATTGTCTCGAGCGACAAAGTTTGAGCTAGGTGAAGATTTCTTGCCAAGTTTTCTTCATGTCTGCGATTTCAAGAAACTTTAGTGTGCTTTTAATCTTGTTAGTAGGCTAACCGAAACTGGCAACTTTGTAATTCTGGTAAACGTCCGCCATTTTTGTTTAAAAAACCCCAAATATTTTGTTTTCAGCAAGCGTTGATATTTACCCGGGTGTGACAATTCAGCCTGGACTCGACGCACACACCCTTGTGGTCGGGTTCACCCTCCACCATCCTCCATCATCAGTTGGCGGTATGGTTTGTCACGTGATATACTTATCAGAATGGAAGCTTCAAAATGATTTGGTAAAATCTGTTTAAATTACATGACTTTGCATTAACTAAATTAAATTCTTTTCTTGAATAAAATTTGATTTCGTTTTAATTTTTAGATCACTGATCAATAAATCTGAGAAATTTTATTTCAAAGATATTTATATTTCAAATGTCCATATACATATTAATAATAAGAACTTGTGATGCTTCATCGATCCGAAATCAATATCCGAAATCAAATATGTTTATTTATAAAAGATTTAGTTTTTATCTGAACTATATAATAATACGGATATCTTTAAAGGTATACAATTTATTCAGGCAATTGTATATTATATTTAATTTATTTTTACCGGTTTGCTTTTTCCGTGCATAATATTTCGCGACTTTTGTCTAAATTTTGCATTTATATCAAATATCCGTGGAATGGGATTTTATATCTTCATGAACTAGCATTTGGTGATTTCATATTTATGAAAAATATTACAATACGAGAACCAGACCATCGGAGTAACGCCGAGCAAGGAATAATCTATAAGTTTATCACATTTTCAAACATAAATATTCCAGAAAATCACACTGGACACGAATCATTTTGATCTCGATGTTAATATATCGCTTCACCATCTTATTCCTTTTACTCGTTACACCGTGAATATTTCCTGCAAGCCAGTAACCAGCCATTACTGGAGCAATCAGGTCACGGGTTTAGGCAGGACGAGACCCGCAGGTATGTTGTACATTATATGAAGTTGCTGAAAGCATTCAACCGTATACGAATACTGTTTAGACTCTGGGGACTAACCATCAATTTTGGTGGTATCATTTGGCGGCCACCAGTTTTTTTGTTTTTTTTTTGTTGGACCGATTTCTTTTTTTATTAAGTAATTTTATCTCGGAAAAATGCACCATATTACTGTTCTGATTTTGCTAATTTACATATAGAGAGCGAAGTATTGAGGGATTACCTAATTGCGTATATATACTATAGACGACAAGTTTCATTTTCCACCTTAATTATTTTGATTTGAAAATCATATGAAACGATTTACAAATGTATCTAAAATGTCATAATTATGTAACCTGTAGAAAAGCTGAAAGCCGCTTTTAAGTGTATAAAAGCTGCATATATTTGATGTCGGTATAATATAAAAATACTGTTTATATTGTTATTAAAATGATTACAGAATACCAGGAATGAAATAATTTTGTCAGTATATGTATTTAAAGTGAGTGGGATTTGCGTGAAATCATCGCTGAACCTTTACTAAAATAAAGATTTTTTGTTCCAAAACATTTTAATCTGTTTGCGTACAATATTCATGTATATTAAATAACATAGTCATTTTACATTACAGCTCTTTAAGATTATTGCAATACTATAATATAACTGTTGATTAATTAAAAGAATCAACCATAAGGTTATGAAAACAACATAGTTATCCTCTTTTGATTTTTTTGTACGATATATTTCATCAGATATAGCTTTATATACACTTTCATAATTACAAAATTCAGTCAGTCTGTCGGTCGCGTACTATTTTACTATTGGCCACTTCTTAGCTAGTAAGTTAGTGAGTGTGTAAGTGTGTGTGTTTTAGTATATATATTTTTTATTTTATTTTCTATTTTTTATTCATCGTTCATTCTTTTGTTTGTTTACCAGTGCTTTGTATTGCCTTTCTCACAATGATATACGTACATGTATTTGTAAACGGCCAAAGTTTGCTGAATGCCAATAAACTGAACTTTGATAATTTGGTAAATAAATTGTATGGTAAACTTGCAATAAAACATGACATGTTTTCATGCCATTCGTGATATAATTACTTTTGGATTTTCAGTGCCATTACATGTGCCGAAGATAATTGGATATTCTAATATATTGACAAAGTCCTCTTCCACCAGTAACAGCAAGTTGTTTCTATATTTAGAGGTAAAATCTTCAATCAATTTTATTTCAAAGGCCCATTATGCCTTAAAAATGCTATAATTTCAATTTCACAAAAACTTAACTAAAATTTACAGATTATTACAATATACTCATTTGCTAATAAACGAACTGCCATTTGTTATGTTGGCAATTGGTATAATTAAAGTAAATCAGTATTTTCTATGGAAATCATATACAACTTTGTTTACATTTTGCTTCCTTAACCATACATGACTTTATGTTCAGCGCTACTTCTTTCAGTTGTAAAACGTCTAATATGCACTAAATCCACTACATAAGTATTCTTTAACACATATTTGACATTTTATTAAGAATAAAAAAAATTATTGAGGCATAATGTGCCTATAACATTCAATCATGATAACTTTGTTTTAGATGATAATTAAAGGTGTATACATTGCATAAAGTATAAAGCAATAACAAATGAATGTTATTTCAGGCATGCATTCATGTAATACAACGACAATTTTTCCTATGATATGATTTTGGTCATTACTTAAAATTATTTAAGCAGTCGTGTTTTTTTTGTTTGTTTTTTTTGGGGGGGGGGATTTTACGTCGATACTCGAGAGAAGAAAACTGTAAATAACACAAAGAGTGCATGTACCTATTCAACAAAATTTAGAAAAAAATAATTTAAAAGCAGGTTGTCAATATCTGATTTCAATCTAACTTCCAGACCAAACAGGGCTCAGAAATTCGATTAATCTAAATAACATAGTTTTTATCATATTTATTTTCTTTTTATTTCAAACTGTCTAAATATTTATTAAAAATAGTCGTATACATTCATCAATAACCTTGACATAACCTGTATTGTTTTCCATCTTCATATACAAAGCCGTTGACGAAAAGTCTTTGGTATGGAATGAACGCATCTTACTTGGTCATAATGGCTGATGATGAGACAACTTATAACCAAAGCATTCCCGCCTACACAGTGACGTCAGAATTGTATCAGCTAATCGACAAAAACCAATCCTCCTGCATGATCAGCGTTCGTACCGAAAACGAGGCTGGGTCTTCAAAGCGGTCGGATCCTGTTCGTATTGCCAATCTAAACGAGGAAGGTATACAAAAAAACTCTGTTCCGTTACAAAAATATTCAATCTTTAGCATAGCATTACATTTACTTTAACATTTACCTAAATTAAGTTGTAAAATTAGAAAAAAAAACACCTTGTTTATTGTTGATAATGCTAAATATCTTTATTGAGCTCTTTTAAATAAAAAAAAACAGTTTGGTGTAAATCTTCAAACTGAAATCCTTTAAATGAAAACTTCTATCAGACAGCATGCTTTCTTTTTAAAAGAAGGCGTTTCAAGAAAGACCATCGGTTAAAATACAGCGTAACGCCATGTCTTAACTTAATCGGAAATTTACCATTATACTGGACGAATATATTTTTTGCCATTTGCAGATCAACCGGTGCTTGTTGTCGAGAAGACCAGGGGCAACATACAGCTATTACTGTACTCTAAATATGACGATAACTATGAAGTTTCAACGTATTACTACTGTCAAGGCACACCAAATACATATCCACCTATCTGCAAAGTATTTAATTTTCTTTCTTTACTATATGAACAATTGTTATTACTTCTAAATATACATTTTGTTTAATATTAAACGCCTCTTTGACCTGACAACCAATAGCACGTACATGTAATGTTACCGTGCAGCTGGTTTGTGCGTTGTAACTGTACCAAACGTTCTTGTGGTGACTTACTTGAAGAACGTTTGGTATTGATTTTGTGTAACCATTTGCCTTTATTTAAGTAGGTTTTGGATAAGGAAAGTTGAAAACTGTGTACTTAACCAATGACATGCAAAATGTTGTCAATAAACTTGACCGATTTTCAGTTTTTCTTATCTGCCCTTTTTCATTTTTTGGAAAATCAAGGTAATGATCAAATGCAACTAAGTAAACAGTATAAAGCCTTGTCAAAATATACGGATGTGTAGGATGAGAGGCTTATCACATTTGGTTCCAGCAAGTTAAGAGTTAATAAAAAGTAGATTTTAACACGTGAACAATGTTGTCGAACTTATGATCGTCTGGCTCTTTGCTTCCCGAGCAAACAAAGAAACAAATAAACAATATATGACTATGAAATGCTTATCAGTTTAGAATTAGTTTTTGCAATAACCATGCATTTGTCACTTAAAGCTGTATTTACAATAAATATATTTAAATTATGTTGGCATATCTTTGAATGGAACGAACTTCTTTCTCTTTCATATCTATTTGCGTTTGTTTTGTCGTTTTTGCCTGTTTTACTGGGTGTGTTTTGTTGTTTTATTTGTCTATTCAATTGTTTAATGTCTGTTTGTGTATTGCCTTTTGTGTTTTTGTTTGTACTTGTCTGCATAATTGGACCTATTGCATGTATTGCAGACTAATTTAGAGAAGACATTCGAACCAAGATTTCAGCTGCCTGGCAACTTGACTAATTATTCAAGTGAATGGTACTTTGGTATGACGTCATCAGAGGAGGATGGGAGAATCATATGGTCCAACTGTGTATTATCATCGGAGAGTAAGTCAAGTTATTGTGAAATAATTTTTTATTTATTTGAATTTATCAAAACCTAAGTCAGCTGTATCTAAAACGGTGTTAGCAGGTACGGGTTGAAGATTGCATGAGCCACTGTAGAAGGTCCGTCAAACCAAATCTGCAACAATTTCAATTTTGCCATGTTGGCTGACCTTTAAAGTTCATATTTTATCCATTTCTGTCGTAAAAGGGTGAAGTTTTTTCATAATGAATACATTGAAAGGTAATATATGTGTTTGATATGTTTAGATGTTTCAATGATGCATTAGAAGTTGTTCTTTTCTTTGATTATGTTTTTAAAGTGTTAAGTTTAACTGTATAACATATTTCATTTTATGTCAACTCTTCAGACGCGGTGAGTCAGAAACAAGATCAACTCGAACTATCTGCATCTGCGTTACCTAGCAACGAGAGCGTCGCGAGACTACACCTTCTCTTTGATTACTGCAGCCTGAAGAAAAGACCGCTTTTGTATGAAGTTGCAATCCGTGAAGCGAAACAAAACCAAACTGATATCTGCAGTATCAATAATATATCAGGTAAAATTAAATGTATTTAGAGACTATATCAAAAGTTCATAATCACCACCATCATTATTATCAACGTAATAATAAATAATAATAATAATGATGATGATAATAATAATGATGATGATGACGACGACGATTTTTGTCATATATATAAAGAAGCTTCTTCTTTGAGTTTGATTATTTTCAGTGAAATTTTTTTTTCATGTTTATTTTCAGCGTTTCAAAATTTCTCTGCCACGCCTTTTGTCAGAGACCTTTACGTTTTTGTTGGTAGTATGGCAAATGTCACATTTTGTTTCCGGATTCAGTACAGTGATAATAATTTGGAATCTAGTCACATCACATTCCATTTTGACAGGAATAATAAAATAGGTAAGATTCATTCTACTTTATTTCAATTATCATATTATTTTCAGAGTAGCCATGTTTGCCCTTTCCGGACCAATTTATAATATTGCCTAACTCATTGACGTTTTATCTCATTCACACAGACATGTTCTCTTACTTGTTTGGAATCATTTAAAGATTTGCATGGTCCGCACTTGTGTGCCATTTTAGCTACCGCACATGAATTTTTTAACATTTAAGATGCTTAATTGTATGACCTTTTGTCTATTTCTTATTAGTTTGCTTGGAAGTTTGCCTTTTTTAATCTTTAATTTAATTGTGAGGTAATTTAATGATATTTGGGCTGTTTTATGCTCTTTTGTATGGCATTATGCCTAATTCACATCTAATTAAATGGCATTTTTTCTAGATTCACCCAATTCATAAACCTTTATACCATTGATTTTACATGGATTTTTCCTCATATGTATTTGCGTACATTTTGTAGCATAATGATTAATACATCTATTGTAATGGTACTGTGAACACTTCGAAAAGAGAATACTGGTCATTTCTTTCCAATTACAGTTGAAGTACCTGGACAGAAGACGAACAAAAACATCACAATCATCATTTCTGTGCTGTGTTCCACTGTTGTTGGTCTCTTAATTTTAATGTAAGTTGCTTTACCAGTGTTGTATGAAGTTTTGTTTGCAAGCTCTGTTATGTTCAAATTAATTATGATGTTCAAAGAGTTACAGTAATAATTAACTTAAACCTTATATTTCAAGTACAAATCACAGGTCTCCAAATCTAGTAGATTAGTGTACGACTTATTTATACACCTCAAATGGTCTTGGGGTACTATAGTATGTAAACTTGTCTTGTCCAAGGTTTAAGATGCCGAGATTCATAAATGGACCATTTTTTAAACAATTCGTTATCAAGTTTAAGATTGACAAGATAAAAATTTGATAAAAGTTGATAAGCAAAAAAAATAGAGAAATGTAGGAACTATGGCATGCAGAGTGGTCTAGCTCTATACTGAGGACAAAGGCTAATTACTTTCAGTTTCTATTGGGATGGAAACACCTCAGTAAAGATTTTAACTGGTTGCCATACAGAGGTACAATACGATCCTGGGTACCCTGTCATCACACTGCAGTCATGCCTTCCACACAATGTGAATCTCTTTAAAATGCTGCTTTTTTCTTTTTTTAGATTTGTCATTCCTTTTGTTATTAATTACACAGTACGAGAGCCCCATTTAATGCCTTTTGTGTTTCAGAAAATTATGCAGAAATAGAATGAAAACTTTGCAGGAGAGAAACAATATATCTGATGACATTTTAACCGAAATTTTAAAAGATACACAGGAATATATGACCGCAGAGGTACTTATTATGTTATTATATTAGGTTATTATATTAGGTTGGCATCACACCATGGCATATATTATGATAAGGTCATCGCAAAAATTGGAAAATTGTTTAAGATTGACACAGATGACAAATTTACTTATTTTTGCTTATTTTTTTACATATCTGATCAAACACTTGATGTCTTAAGTGAAGCCTGTATTCACCTGTTCATAATATGGTCATTTTAGCTTGCATTGAATATTACAATCTCAAATATATCATCTCAGCAGTTGCATATTTCTTCAGATAAAAAAATTAATCAAAATGAATTTCTTTCCAGAATGACACTAGTAGCTCTAACGAGTTGAGTGAATCTTCCGGAATATATTCCATCTCTAGAAGCGTTTCCGATGAAAGTGTCCAAGATGATCATACAGATGTCAAAACACTACATGTTCAACAAGATAGAACCATTGCATTTGAAAACCCACTCGTCGGCACTGAGCTTCAACTACCTTTGCCGGTGCCATCATCTGACGGACTGTCGGATTCGGATGATAATTATGCAACAACTGGTCCTGAAGAAATGCGTAAATATGTTAACGAGCTGCAGAAACAATTTGTAGAAAACGAAACAGTAGGTAAAAACGTTAACACACAACTTAACGGCACTTCAACGAACTTTGAACAACTGCATGGTTCCGGTGATCAAATAAATGATTTGCATCACGTTAATGACAAGGGAATCGTTATTTCTGAAGATGTTGATGATTATGCAACACCTGTTATTGGCGCAATGGTTGAAATTAAATCTGACGGATACGAGATAGCTAGGGACCAGATTATCTTAAGCAATGAATATCCTCAAGGCAATGATCAACAGAGGGAATCTATCTCATCTTTTTACTGACGGTGAAAGCATTACTCACGGCGATGAATTGAACTTGTTAAGCGAAGCAAATGACTCTTCTGCAGAACAATTTCCGCTTTCAAATTCGATATCATTCGGGGAATACTTCACGGCAATGGCATCGCAGTCCAACAATTCCAATACAGTTCAAAACGATAGTTACTTATTGGCACATGCCGATGTTAATTCTAACGGTAGTCTTTCAAGTAGGCAATCTTCATATACAATAAATACACAACGAAGACATTTAAACGCACAATTTAATTATTTGAATTCGGTTATTTTGCCGCGAATGAGCGTTGAGTCTTCTACACCTTCAACTTCCTCTTTAGGTGAATACATGATAGCCGAGCAAGAGGATGTCGTTAGTTCAGGTTTAACTTATGTAGACGATTACTGCACAGCCGAGGCTTTCGAAAGCCCAAGCAACTTCTTTGGGGATCCTTCGTTACATGGTTTGAACTCAAGTGATACAGGAAACATTTTTACCTCTGACAGATCTCACATAGGTGTCACATCTGATAGATTGTCAGATAATTTAGATGATGAACCTCTGGGCGACTATCAAATGGCATCATTATCAACTCGAACAAATAATGATGTCCCTGCTTTTGGCAATTTCCCTGACATGATTGAGTTGACAGAAAGGAGATGACAGGACAGAAATAGTGTCTCAGAAACAGAAAATAATCATGTTAAAATCTTCTGATGCTTTATTAAAGATATAGTATGCTCACCATTGAGTAAAATATTTTAATAACAGAAATTAATTTAAATCTATGAAATTCTTAATGAATATGTCTAATTTGAGTAAAAGAATGATTAAGCTATGTATGGGAATCTGCGTTCCTTTTACAGGTCAAGTAAAGCTGGTCTTATCTTTAAAAAAACTGCCAGTTTTTTTAATGACACTATATATTCATTTTGTGGCTACCTATAATGTGTAGAATTTTAAACATAATAATTATATCTACGTCAAAACATGTTTAGTTTATATTTTCAAAGAGACTGTACAGCAATATTTCTAATATCAAATTTGAGCATAGTATATCTTTGAATAAAAGTAAAATGTCTCACAAAATAGGATTTTTTTGGTCCAATAAAAAACTATACAATGTAGAAACAATGTATACAAATTTTTATAAATGACAGAGATCTGTTTCGCAGTGATACAGCACAGTATTGGTTAACTAAAAACTGGTTCTTTGGTAGGGATTAGTTTTGATGTTGAAATCGGACATTTAAAGAGGATATTCAATATGTAATGCGATCCATTTTTGATTAAGATTAGCTTTGATTGAGTAGTTGAAATACTATTGAATATGTTTTGTGTTTGTCAGAAATATGAAATGTTTGATTGATTGATTGATTGATTAATACAAGTAATACGCTCTTTGTAAACATTTGTGCAAATATCATTACTGTTGAAGTAAGTGAGAATTGCAGTTTTTTTTCCTTTCCACAACCTAATGTTTATGTGTTTTCTATTCAGGAAAGGAATGTTTTGCAATTATGAAAGAAAAACAAAGATTAAATAAATTGATATGACATTTCAACATAGTTTGAAGAATTTTTACTTTTATATTTATCATTATTTCTGTAATATTATGTACATGTATACCAAATATTATGTAAAACTTCCTTTAGTTTTTCTTCCTCCTCATAGCTGTTTATAAAACATTTTTATAAGCCTTTTACTTTTACTTAATGCACAAAACCTTCAGTTAAGTTTATAAAATAGAGAAAATCAGAAACCCTACATTTGAATATGATATATATGTAGAAGTCACAATGTATATTTTCGATTTAGCATGATTCTCATACTTTCGTTGATACCTTTATAAAAGTCACTCATAAATTAACATTTCAGTAATAGTAGATACGATCTAGTGCAGTTTCAATACGTTTCTGAAATTGACCTATCCTAGTCTGATATAAAATATTCACATGCTTAACATCAATTTCATTTATTATTATTTAATAAGTTCATCGGATCTGTTTGGAAACTTAGCTAAACATGAATATTTTTATTACTGTACAATTAGTTTATAAGTTGATTGTCGTGTTCAAACTGAAATTGGTGCATATTAATTTTTATATAGTTTGTCGTGAATTAAAAGTGTACATATAAATAAATTGTAAATCAGTTTATGTTCAATGTCTTTGTCATATGTGGAAGTCTGTTCTATCGAGTTTCCAAATAAACCTGAAACATGACATTCATTTAATGTATAAATATTAAAAAAACCTCGTTCGGGATGGCAGATAAATGTTTTGAATGATTGACATCATTGCGTGTTGAGTTAAGTGTTGTGCATTTCCATCGAGAAAAAAATATATTAGAATGCAGCATACATTTCTGTGACATTCAAGTTGTGATACATTTGTAAGAGTTTGAAGTTGTAGAAAAGGAGTTGAAAAACATATCGAGGTATCGAGCTGCATACAATTGTAAAACTTTGAAGTTACAAAAACATATTGGGGTGTCGAGCTTCATACAAATTAAAACTTTTGGAGTTGCAAAAACATATCGGGGTGTTGAGCTGCATACAATTGTAAAATGTTCGAGTTGCAAAAACATATCTGGGCGTCGAGTTGCATACAATTGTATAACTTTGGAGTTATAAAAATTTATCGGAGTGTCGAGCTGCATACAATTGTAAAACTTTTGAGTTTCAAAAACATATCGGTGTTAAATTTGATGTTGTAAAAACATATCGCGATGCCGAGCTGTATACAACACTATGATTTTGGAGTTATAAAACATAACGGAATGCCAAACTGCATACATGTATGACATTTAAGTTATAGATTGTAAAAGCATTTCGTCCAATATCCAAAAGTTCAAACTTCCGTGTGTTGAAATTCAATGTGGTAAATGGTATAATTTTGGAATGACAGTAATCCGGGAATATGTTGCATTATCAGCAACATAATTATGTTGATGAAAAAATATAAAGTTTTTAACGTTTTGATGTTACCAGAATGTTAGTAATCTAAACATTACAGTATCCAGGAAAATATTTCAGGTTTATTTCAAAGTGTTTCCTTATTTCGAACAACAACGTAAAATGTTAGTACTAAAAATGCTAAACTTTATTGAAATAAATTCACCATAGTGCTTTAATTCCTTCTGTAAATTTATAGGAGATCACCCGTTACTGCACTTAGGTGACGAATTTCAAATTTACTGAGTTCACTTAGTTTCCAAAATGTTACATTTTCCGACTCAAAATTTTCGAAATCAAACTGTTGTCCTTAATACCAACTCAACTGTAATTAAATGTATTATTAACTAAAATATAAGTTATTCAATTGTTAACATTTTGACAATATATTTTTATCTAAGTTTTAGTTATTTAAATGTAAGTGTTCAAAATATGAACTTTTCGACATTAAATGGTAATTGAAGGGTTAGTTATCATATTTTTAATACTCAAAGTGATAACTTTTCATTACTATAATTATAATTTAATTATAGTTAAAGAAATTTAAAAAAAACAAACACTTTTAGTTCCTAAAATGTACACTATTTGACACTATATATCGTAACTGAAACATTACACATTTTTAAGAAATTAAAAAGATGTAAGTTTTCAAAATGTTACACTATTTGACACTATATCGCAACTGAAAGAGTAGTAAACGAAATGGTACAATTGTTAAGAAATTCAAAAAAATGTAAGTTCTGAAAATGTTATACCATTTGACACTACAACTATCGTTACCGAATCAATAGTAAACGGAATGGTACAGTTTTTAAGAAGCTCTCAAAATGTTACATTATTTGATACTACATGTATATCGTAACAGAAAAACAGTATTATATGAAATCGTACAATTTAAAAAAAAAAACTTTTAGCTCCCACAATGTTACACTATTTGACGCTTTACATTATTTGACGCTTTACACTATTTGACGCTTAACACTATTTGACGCTTTACACTATTTGACGTTTTATGGTTATCGAACTATTACAAAAAGCATATTTAAAGACATTTTTATTTTATAAATAGTGTATAATACAAACGAACTGATCAATAAACTTTTTTAAACTACTTTAATTACACCTTATGTCAATATTTTTTCTTGTTGTAATATAATGAAATGTAAACACCAAATACAGCAATTAGCTTTAAAAATAATGAGGTTTAAAATAGAAAGAACATATCGTTTTTCACCTTTATAGCATTTTTAACCCTCGTACGTTTGAAAATAAAAAAAAGAAACTTTTGAACGTAATAAGGTGATACATTTACAACAAAAGCCAGTTGTATTAACAAAGGCTTTAAGTTTGACATTTTCATATAACAATAAGTAAAATGTTTTATAGATCAATAATTACTGTTCGCTTTTTTTTTGAATAAGTGTTTTAACTATATGCATTTTGTTCTCTTTCACACTCTCTTTGCGAGAGTTTAGCTGTCTGTTTTGAAAAAAAATGAGATCGGCCTACTATTTTGCAAAAGGAAACCTACAAAACATTCTTTTATCAAATTATTTAAGGTCACCGTGTACATAATGCGGATTTAGTAAACTAGTTAATGTTGATTGTTTTCCAGGAGACTCAGCAGGTCAAATAAAGTTAGGCTGTGGATTTAATGTCTGTAATCAACCGGAGATTAATCTTTGCTTTTTATTTATTTAAGCACTGAAAGGGGATTATTGATAATTCTATAATAGTAATTAAAAGAATTTGACCAGATTAAGATCAGCTTTGTGAGTGTTTTGTTGTTTGAAATCCAAATGATTTAATATTAACTTTCGACTCATTGACTTGTAAACTTGGAGATAACCAAGAGGGAGTAGAAACGCATGTTGAGGAAACACAGAAACAACCAGAAAATACAGACTTCGAAAGAAAAACCCGGGTAAATTGTTATATAAAAAAGGTTTACTTGAATCGAGTTTTATGAAAATGGTCTACCGAAAGTGAAATGAAACAGTGAAAACCTCAGGTGGAATAAACAAAAAAGGACGCATTTTTGGCTCAAAAGTTAAAAATTAATAACGCTATTGGTAAAATATAATGATACGAGAGGTGAGGTGAATTGTGAAAAACATTGTAATTGGTGGATTACATATATATTTCATTTTGTGTTTTGAATTGGGAAAAAAAACTTTTTTAAAATGCTTAAACGGATGTCAATGGCGATGGTCCAAGGAGGTGCAAGTACTGCAACAGTACCGTCCGAAATGGGCGATAGCACTGTCACAGAAAGTACGTTTGGTAAAAATGCCAGACCCTCACTGGCGGGAGTCATGCTTTCGAGGAAATTCGCGAAAAGAATGTCTACTAAATTAACGGAACGGAGAGGACTGGGAACCATCGGAAGTTCTTCAGCCGGACTGGTTCCTGAAAAGGAACCAACGTATCGAATGGAACCAACGAAAAAATTCAGTTCAGCCTCAGCGGAAAATGTTATAAAAGAAGTCTTAAATGATGCCTTTGAGGGGATGAAATACAACCCGAAGACGTGCTCGAAATTGATTAAATCATTAAGTGATGAGATAAAAGAACGGGTAAAATTGTTAGGATACGATAGGTACAAAGTAATATGTATAATTTCTCTATGCCAGATATCGGAACAAGCTGCGGTTTGCACGTCAAGGTGTGTCCTAGACAAAGCTAATGACACTTACGCGACATACACGTTCAAAAACGATACTTTTATATGTAATGCAACTGTGTATGCTATTTATAGGGAATAAAAACGAACGCAAGCTGGTGCCACAGTGGTATGACATTTGGAAGAATCATGGAAGGTTGTGAAAATTAGTATTGGATTAGATTATTTCAAAGTTGATAATTATTCCAAAGTTCAAGTATTTAAATGTCGAATTTTAACTTCTTAAACGTTGCTATGTTAATGATTATAATATTAGATATCAGTTTTTGCTTTATGACCAATTTAGTTTAAATGTGCTATTATCTATTGTCATTTATGTAGACCTTCTTTGCAGCACACTTTCCTTTGGCGGTTTATTTTTAGAGAAATGTTTTATATTATTTATATTTATTCTCGGACTTGACAAATTTGTGGACAAATAGGACCAGAACAATCGTTATAGGTCAATACGCACCGGAATGATTGCTAAAACTGGAAACACAAACTGCTTCAAATAAAAAAATATTTTCATTAAAAATTATCAATAGGGCATATTACATAGGGCTCTATTAACTATTATGTATGTATATGTTTGTACGATTTCAATATTATGTGTCTTTAAATATTTTTTCTATGAAAAAAGTGCATTTAAATACCTTCATTATTTATAAACAGAAATTAAAGTTTATTCATTATCTTCGTTTCTTTGATTTGGAATATCCTGCGCATGATTGTCAGCGTGATCGTCTGCTGGCAAAAGTCCGGAGAAAGTTGTTCGTCTGCGTCCAGGGATCGTGAGATGTCATTGGTAACGTGAGAGTATTTCTGATTTTCCTTTTCCATCAATGGTAAATATTGAATGGATTGAACTTTGGCGATTGGTTTCAGTTTTTGCGGGGATTTCTTGATGGATATGATCATGTTGTTATCTGCTTTCTCTTGTTCGTGAATTTTCGAGACAAAGGTGTTCCGAATGCCGTCCGTAAGACTGAACAGTGTTCCGTGTGCTTGATGGTATGACTCTTGTCAAGTTGTATCTCATACATATTTAGTTAGCCTAAAAATGATAGTAATATTAATAGTGCATTATTATAATTACACTAGCTATCGATATTTTGAACAATTGACATCTAAACTTATTGGTCAATTCTTATAAAGCATTTATTCGAGAAATGATTGTTTGATTTTACAATGTCATAAAACAATGTTATGCCGTCCATGTACGGAACACATTTAAATGAAACCAAATCGTCTAAAAATATAGATATCCTCTGAACATAGAACAATAAGCTTATTAGTCAAAGCTTAGTTGTTTTATTCCTAACTTTGCTGTCTTAACTACCCACAAGCAACGCTACACATATTATTCTTCAATTGATATTGTTTGTAACCAGATAATTGAAGAATCTGATATCAAGCTTCTTTTTTGCTTAAATAAAATTCGAATCACGCTATATTACACTGTATCTCGTAATATTCTCAATCAGTACAAAAACATATGTCGCACTTACTCATAATTGACAATTTTTCAACATTCATATCTATTTGTTTCCTCCAGTCACCCACTGTCTTCAAATTCTGTATGGCTTCATATGCTGGGCCAATTTATCTACCGTTACCCAGAGTTCTTATTGCAGAGCGCATGCGCTGTATTTGCTCCATAAGCCTCTTGTTATAGAACAGAACAGGACAGATACTTTATTAAGATTTGTACATTGTACATAATCTATAATACAATAATATTTACAAGCATAACGCTATACGATTTTCGACCGGTAGATGGTCAGGTACAGAGGACATTGAATGAGGGCATGTTTAATATATTCAATAAAATAAACAGTTATTTAATTACTAATATTGCATGCAGGTATTTTTATTGAAGTTATGGACAGTGGCATCAGGATTATAGAAAATTCCCACACTTGATTTTTATCTCTTGCTGTCTTTAGATATTTGCCAAATGTCTATATATTTTGACGTTCTTTTGTACAAACTAACAAATCCAAAATATTTTGATTATTACAATTTTGAAAAACAGCACTTTATTACACATTTCTTTATATATTTCATCGGCGCTTTGAGGAAACCCATTTTCTATCAAGTACTAGTGTACCGTATTTATTCAAAGTACGTTTGTTTGATTGTTCGATTCATTTTACGCCTTTTCCCAACAGTATTTCAGTCATATAGGCGGGAAGTTTCTTAACCATCGTTCCTGGAGAGTTACACCAGTACTAGACTACCTTCCTCCGTGATAAAGTACCAAAGCATATCCCGGGGATCGAACCCATTCCTGAAAGGTAGCTGAATTAGCAGTCATCGACTCTAACCCCTCGACCACAGAGGCTTTTTTTTTTCAAAGTACGTAGAAGTACGTTTGTTTCGGAAAGAAGGAGCTGAGTACACTGTAGCGGGGACGCTAATTAGCGTGTTTTCGCTCCGCGGCTCCGCCGTCTTATTTCTTAAATATCGTCCCGCGCCCCCGCGGGGCGAAGTTTTATTTATTAAACTTCGCCCCGCGCCCTCGCTTATTAGAGTGTTTTCGCTCCGCGACCCGCCGTTTTAACTGGTTTATTCTCGACTTTTCGCTTGGCGGGTCGCGGGGCGAAAACACGAATGGCACATATCAGCCACCATATGATTTAATTCATTAAATTCGAAAGTTTGTGGTCATTATTATTAAACTTCAAAATCAAAATTTGAAGTTTTTATCCGATTAACCTGATTGTATTAAATTGTATACATGCATTTAGTCAAGGATTTTATATTGTATTGATTTATACCCCAGTATAACAACAGATTATATGTTTTGTCGTTAAATAGCAATACTTATAAAGACTATACTTATTGGGAAAGATTTCTCCCATAATGGGCAGATTTGTGCCCCGAATATTTTATGTGTGTTTAAAATACATCCGCGCAGTCTGATAAGGATCCATGCTGTTCTCTACTTGTAATAGGCTGGTTTGGATTCATGCTTGTCGCAAACGCATTATGTTGGTTTTGTCATGACACGGCTCATTTCTTTTTTAAGGTAAAAATGCTATATACGGCTTACCAACTACATTCTGGTAGGTAATTGGGGATTCAAGCGAATAACCAACTGAGTCCAATGGTCGACAGGGTGTTTCAATATTGAAGAACACATCTATCTTGCAATATATCCGTTATATCTATCCAGGAAAAACTCTTTCTCAGAGTCAAAAATGCTAAGTTCGAATAATCAATTACCTTCTGCATGGTAGTTAGTTGGGGATTCACGCGAATCATCATGTGAGACCCAACTTTATTCTGTGTTTAAAAATGTATGATGTGTTCGAACATTTCAGGCTCACATTTCATGCTGGTATTAGTGGGTCGAATTACCAACTACCAGCTGTTTAATAGTTGGAAATTATGAATAACAAACTACCAGCTAGTAGGTAGTTGGTTATTCGAATATCCAACTACTAACTACCAATTACCTACCAAATTTACGTTCATATGCGTTACCACAACCCTGGAAACGAAAAAGAGAAATTACATTTATCAATAATAATAATAATAATAATAATAATAATAATAATAATAATAATAATAATAATTAATCATAATAATAATAATTAATCATAATAATAATAATAATAATAATAATTAATAATAATAATAAAAACAATAATAATAATCATCATCATCATCATAATAATAATAATAATAATAATAATAATAAGTAGAAGAATAATGATAATAATAATGATAATGATAATTATAATAAAAAAATAATAATAATAATAATAATAATAATAATAATAAATTTACAATATAATAGCACTTTTGAGTAAAACGAAATGGGATATTTTTTAAATCAAGATATTTACTTCCTACTTACTCTCACTCATTCACCAAAATCAATTTGATGTCATAAACTAGAAATATGAATGAAAATAACTTCAGTAATTTTCCATCACGTATACTATATACGATAACAGATAATCAATATTTAAAATAAAACAGTTGTTAACATGCGCCACCAATAAGCTTTAATTGACGGTAAAAAACAACACAAAATGAAATTTAATTTTTTGTCCATGACTTTTTTTGTTATTGTATGGTATTGTGAGAATGATTGATTGTAATGATTAGATTCGATTAAGTGTCCCTTTTCATTAAGAATTTGCATTTTTTTTTGTGTGAGCTATTTGTGTTGCTAACTGTAGGTGGTTCCTAAGATGTTGGAAACTAGGCTTTACATTGAAAAGGTAGCATGCGCGGAAATGTTGAAATTAGAAAAAAAGAGTACAATGCAATTTAATTGATTTTCAGGACAATTGGTTTGCATTGCCAGAAAACGGTTGTTGCATTTGTGTTTGCAGATTTTATATATGAACACAAACGTTTGCTTTTTACAACCCATTCAAGGTTGAAACAAGGCTTGATGTGACTTGTTATGGAATGAGATGTGGTCCCTTAAAGCAGGTGTTTTTTTCCTAATTTGACTTTTATTTTATAAAGCGGCGTAATCTCCAACTGTACTGTAAATTATATTTATAAGTCTCAAATTTATTTTCTGAGATGGACATAATAATATTGTATGCTTCTTTGCACACAGGTCTACGTTTTTTTATTGTTGTTGTTTTTTGTAGAAATAAATATTTTCGCGTTCATTTAATCGCCAACTAGGTAGATCAATTGATATTACATATTGCACATTCCGCGGTGTGATCGTCATAATTTACCAATGACATTACAATGGTTATATGTTTCTATATTTACATTTTCACGCTTAATGGACCCGTTTGAAAACATAACAACGCAAAGTGTGGAGGAAGTCGAGAGATTTTACCAGCAATTCTTGTAAGTTTTTATTATTTCTAGGTGTATATTATATGTCTATGTTTAAATGATTGAGATATATTTTTTTATAAACCTTTATTTGATCGTCAGTTGAATATACATATTTCATGTACGCTATCAATGTTTATAATATTTGTTTGTACCTTTCTTTTGAAAATGTGCCAGCCATAAATGCTCGTAAGTGCAGGGGATAAAACTAGAATAATGTAGAACGTGCTCGATGATTGGCTATATTTCTTCTGGGGTTTATTTATTGTGACGACAGGGAAAGGGCTCAAATTCTTATATAAAATTATGTTCCGCTTTGATCTATAATATTATATCGAAGTACACTAAACAAAACTTCCCGTTATCAGGGAAAGGGTTTCAATTAAATATACAATATAATAAAAACAGAGTAAAGCTAACTGTTTTATAATCTATTTGAATTATTATTTTCTTTATAAAATAATAATACATGTAATTGTAAATATCAATGTCTTACAATAATCTCTGTAGGATTATAACATTAATACAAAAACATTTAACAAATATTATATTTTTAAGAATGTCAATCAACGCATATAAAATAAGTTTGGCAGTTTTTGGCCATGGCTGTAAAATACATTTGCAATGCACAAGAGAATTTTTTGGTGCTGCGCTGATCCCAAGGGGGCAATATGGCAGACCACCATAATTCCGGATGTTCGGAAATTTACATATAAAGAATATATATATACATGATTGAATGTACAAACTCTGGAAAATCAGAAGTTATTTTGTTCAGACTGGAGAGCGTTACATAGTTAGAAAGTATTCCGGACAATCGGAAATTTATATTTCATATTCCGGATAATCGGAAATTTATTTTCATATTCCGGATAATCGGAAATTTATTTTCATATTCCGGATAATCGGAAAATTTATTTTCATATCCGGATAATCGGAAATTTGTTCATATTCCGGATAATCGGGAAATTTATGTATCATTCCGGACAATCGGAAATTTATGTATTTCATTCCGGACAATCGGAAATTTATATTTCACTTCGGACATTTGGGAAAATATATCTTTGTTGAAACAGCTACATCCAATCATGTTTTAAAATTATAAAAACAATTTTGTTTGCTAAACACCTTGTACATTGCAAATGCATTAAAAATCTGCGCAAGTGCCTGCAAAAGGCTTGGATCCACATCAGCCTGGTTGATTTGCATGCAAGCTCTGGCCATTACAATACCCCCCAAATTGGATGGAGAAAAACTGCGCAGAAAGTGGCAGACATGGCCCCTTTAATAACTACCAACTCATAATTAGAAATATGCTTCATGCTAACATGGATACGATACTAGTTCACAATTTAGAATTGACCACAGTCCATTCATTATACTGTCCACAAATATGGAGTTACCAAAGGAGATAAATGTACTAAATCTCTGAAAATAGTTGATTTTCAACAATTCTTGGGTAATGTATGTAGCCACCGCCATTTGATATGCAAAATTTTGCCATGGTGCTATTGATTACGTTTTCTTCCTTTATTTAACTTGAAATGATTTTCTTCATTTCGATAATGGAGCCTAGGAAGAATAGCAGACCAATGATTCTCGTACCTGGTAATAAATGTAATAAATCTGCAAGACACGCCTTTAAAGAATAATTAATGTAGGAAAGACTGGTTTGACCCAAATCATTTCCTCCACAATGAATAAACAAAATATCTGGCACAGAATTATGCTCAGTGGCTAATAACTGAATATCATTATAAAGGTGCTGAATTTTTAAGCCTGGTCTATAGCGCCAAACAACGTTTACACCAATTGTATTAAATTGTAAATGTTCACCCAAATGTACTGTTACACTTTGCATACTGATGAGCATCTCTTAAAATTGAGGAGCAACCAACCAAACTGAATGGCTGGACTGTTCACCTAATATGGAAAAATGCAAAAGAATGATAACATGGACTAACTATACTATGGCCTCACATAGAGCTTATACGAGTTTGAGCTCCATCTGCCCATTTTTTTACTTCATCTTCTGAAAGCCTTGCATAATCCAGTAAAAGTAGCACCACCAATTCGAAAGGAATGACTTTTTGAGTCTAGAACAGTCTATACTGAATATTTTAAGGTTTTTTGCTAAAACAGACCTAAATTGGTAAGGCGTAAGTGGTGAACCATCTAAATGGGAGAGGAATTGGTAGCCAGAGGTGGGACGCACTGCCATATAATGAAGGATTACTTCCTTGAGATGGCCGGACAAATTTCTATCTAAAGGAATTTTCACTATGGGACCTCTATGTAATTGATCAGTTCTTTGAATGTCTGATATTAAGACACAAGTGTGAATCAGATAAATATACATCTTCTTTACTAATAAATGTTAATTTCACTCACTCTCAAGAGAGCATAAAATGCAACCATAAATGCCGCTGTAAATAAAATGGATTCATAATGGGACAAGCAGACAAATTTGAGGTTGTTGAACCAGAAGATGTAGCAAATTAATGGTAACTGGCTGTCTAGTGTCCCTACGCCTTTGAGACCTATTCATACCATCAAGAAGTTTGCGGACTAAAAAAACATTGAGTGTTATCTGTCAAATTATACAATTTGTTTATGAAACTGATTGCAGATATATGACAATTAACAGTTGTGTATGCATAACCGCTTAATGACATATAAGCTATATAATGAGTAATATGAAATAATGGCGGGGGCCAACTTTTATTATTAAAACTGTGAACATCTGAATTTGTCAAAGGTTTGAAGTGCAGAACAGTAAGTTCTATGCGTATTGGCAGAAAAAGACTGATCTACAAGATGGTCAATTTCGCTGCACAAAAATGCTGGAAGTCCTGTGGAATTGAAAGTGGAACTTTACATGCATTATGTGGCAATAAAGATAGTAATCGTGAATATTGCAGACGACTGATGGCATCACAAATACCATTTTCTTTTGACTCGATATGAACTGCTTTAATCTGAATGTTTTGCAGCAAACAATTTTAAGAACCAACTGTCTCATTAATATCATTACACGATTGTTGCGTGAAGATTTATTGTTAATAATTTGGACAAGACTTTTGATTGTCTGTATGAAATAATGATTTTTTTTCCCTTTTAATTTTTGGAATCCCACAAATAAAATGACAAAACAATTGGGATTAATTCTAAAAAGGTTATGTCTTTGAAAATTTCATCACCCCAGCACTCTGGCCATTTAAAAAACTGACCATTCTCCATCTAAATATGCTCCACAGGCCAAATTTCTATTTCCAGCAGTCAGTATATAAATGGAGCTTATTATCTGACACCCAATCAAGGTTGCTGAAAACAGATATACCATTATAATGCTCTAAAAAATGAAGCCACATCATTAAATCCTCTTTTGTTTGAGGAAGAAATTCGAATGAAATGATTTTGGCGTTTAGCCTGAGACATTGCTCTGTATAAACCACAATTAAATGTTCGCCCTGAAGGAATCACTCTTGTAAAGAAATTTAAAAGACCACAACAGACTGGGAATTTGTTTAGCCTGACCTTTTTCTTATGAATAATTTCATTAATACAATCTTTTAGCCTTCTCTATTTTTTTCCGATGGAATACGGACTTCCAATTTGTCTGTATCAAGTTACAAAACCTAAATAGGTAAGGACAGTAACTGGACCCTCAGACTTATCCGGATTTAGTGGAATGTTCATGTCATCACAGATATGTTTAAAATCCGACATCAACTTAGAACAATCTTTAGTTCCAGATTTACCCAAAAAAATAAAATCATCTAGATAATGATCAATGTTAGAAGATTTTGTATAATTTTTGAAAACTGCCCACTGGATAAAAGAAGAAAAACGTTCAAATATTGCACAACTTATTGATGCACCTTGAGGCAGCATTTTTTGTATCCAGTATCTGTTTTTATATTTGATCCCCCAAGTGGGAAATCTTCTGGCCTAATTGGACACAGGTTAAGGCAGGCAAGAAATATCTTGTTTACCAAGTTCAGTCCCTTTACCCAATATTTGAATTTTTTCAATAACATTGTCAAAACTTGGAGTAATGAACTGAACAATACTTTGAATCAATAAAATCATTAACTCCATTTCCTATAGGATGAGACAGGTTAGTAATCAATCTCCAACCCCCTGATTTTTTGGGGACTAATCCCAGAGGATTGACTCTTAAATTAGAAAATGGTTTTTCATTAAATGGGCCTAAAATCCGACCCAGTTCAACTTCTTAAATTAATTTTTCCTCTAATACCTTTGGATTTAAAATGGCAGATTTTAGTTTTTTGATTCATAACTAATCTGTTGGCCAGAGTACTGGAGTCCAAATCCTTTTCTAAAACCATTCAAAAGATATTTTTGTTCAGCAACCTCATAACCCTTTAACCATATCTTTAAACGTTTTATGTCAATTGGTGATGTGCCTAACTCCAACAAACGCTCGAGGAGCACTAAATCTTGGGCCTTGTGGTTTAACGACTCTAGGCCTGAAATTATTTAACGGATTTTGCATAGAAGTTGAGGTTCGAATCCCACATGAAATAGCTGAATGGGGACCTCTGCAATTTTTGCAGAGATGCTGATAAGGGCATCCAGACTTTGTACAAAAGCCTTTATTATTAAAGAATAAACATAAGTTATATTTATATAACTGGTTTTGAGGCTGTCTAACATGTGAAGTACCAGTCATTGTAAGCAACCAAAGTTCGCCATCAATAGAGGACCATTTCATATCGGCATGCATAGATTTTTTCTGTCGAAAAGCTTTATCATAATACAGCCAGCCAAATGAATTACGTTTTGCAGCTAGGCGGACCATGTGCATGTACTGTATTAACTCCGAGGCAAGAGAGGGACTTTTCATAATAACTATTTGAATATATATTAAAAATGCGTCAGTCCATGAACTTATGTTCTTCATTTCATGTATTTTTGGACTACTGTCTAATACAATATTGCCATTTAAAACTTTAATAGACTGAGCCTCTGGTAATGGTTCTTTTTGTAACAGTAATCCTAAATCAATATATTCACCTGACCAGACTTGCTCTTTAATTTTTTGTGAAATATGCATACACATATTGGTACAAACAGAATGTAAAGGAAAAAGGTTACCTAAACTATGATCAGCAGGTGTTGCCATAACTGGAGGCTGATCCAAAACATCAGGGTGTGGTTGAAGAACACTAGGACCAGGTGGAGGAAACTGGAAGTCTTGGTTTCTACTTGCTGTTGCATATGAAACAACAGAGCCATGAGCTGTGGGAGGAGGTACCGCACACTGAAATTGCTGATTCCCATTAGAGTATAATGGAGCAGGTACACTACTTGCCAGCGGATCAGATGTATAATTAATTTGTGGAGCAGGAAAGCCAGGTGGAGGAAACTGAAAGTCTTGGTTTCTACTTGCAGTTGCATATGATGCAACAGAGCCATGAACTGGTGGAGGAGGTACCGCACACTGAAAATGTTGATTCCCACTAGAGTATAATGGAGCAGGTACACTACTTGCCAGCGGATGAGGTGTATAATTAGTAAGTGGAGCAGGAACATTAGGCCCAGAAAAAGGGGGGGAAGCTGCAGCTGCCCTCCTCCTTTGACGACGTTGATCAACTTGTCCAGCAAGTGGAAGTTTCCTTTTCGGACGAGGCATATCGGCCGTATATGTAAAATAAATTAAAACAGAAATTAAAAGTGGAATGTTCAGCAAATTTAATAAATGTAGCAACATCTTATTTATTGCAATAATTCTTAATTTCATTCATATTATTCAAATTCATTCATTTATAAGTAAATTATTTTATCAATTCTTTTATCAATAATTAATGTTGAAATTTTAAGAACGGTTTTGAACTAAATCTATGAATATTATAAAAATGTGTATTATGTGGCTTGCACTGCTAAGACACCACGTGGTCTGTGGATTTTAATGAATTCTATAAAAATTCCTTTAGTTACTAGCATTTACTTTCATTCGAATAAATTTGTTGATAAGATTTATAAAATATATGTTATTATAATACGGTGCACTTAAACAGTGAAATATGGCCGCCACGCCATGGCCCATGGCATTGCCACTTCTAGTTCTACCCCACGTGCTTCGACGGGAAAATGAGAATAAATAGCAATTTAGCGATAAAAGAAGAAAAATTACTGGAAATAATTCGGGCAACGTAACGTTCAAGATATTCTAAAGTAATTAATACCCGAATAAGACAATAAAAGAAACGTGTAATTAACTTTAAAGAAATTTAAAAACTGAGGAAAAAATTTCTGACCTTCCTCCCTGAGTTTCCAGAAATGTCTAGTCGTGAGTACACATAAACTTATGACGTCATATTATAAAGACCGGTAATGAATATCAAATTTTACCTTTAAGGTTAGAGGAGTTACTTCCCCTCCCAGATAACAAATATATCTAAAGACAAGACTTGATATATATTATATTAAAATTCCCCACGCCGTAGATAGACGCACGGATTTACATGTAATATAAATCCGTGATAGACCCTGTCCTGCGAGCCTATTCAATCCAACGTGCACCTTGTCTTAAAATAACAAGCACCTGTTACTTCCGACCACTGTACCTTTTTTTTGGGAGCCTATATACATGTATTTTATATAAACTATGAGTGACAATGACCTGATTAAGGCCTTCATTTGGTGTGTACGCATACTAATTATGACTTCAGTTACATATAAGTAAGTAGTTTTACGCGTTAGAACATTATTACATATGTAAGTTCACCTCGTAAACTTATTATATTGGCAACTTTCCAATATTTTCCATTCCATTCTTTCCGTTTTTTGTTTTTTTATATTGGCAACTTTCCAATATTTTGCATTCCTTTCTTTCCGTTTTTTCGAATATATGTCCTATTTGATGCGCCCGCATGTCAAATTATTTTCCTGCGCCAGCTAAGATCTCTAAAATATAGATCTCTAAAATATAGGCAATTATAAAACTTGTTTCCACCAATGTTCAATCTTGAAATTCTAACAGAATAGCAATTGTCTTCAAATATGGATATCCTCGCATTTTCAATACAAAAGTTCGACTTTGACGGATTATCGCCATTTTGGGATAATACCTAAACGACAACGACATGGTTTGCTGGCATTTTATTGATCTTAGGAAAGTTATTGGCGTTTCTAAATCATTTTTCAAAAGCTCTCTTATTGGTTTAAGGATGTGTCAGTAATCTCTCTCTCTCTCTCTCTCCCTCTCCCTCTCTCATTCTCTCTCTCTCTCTCTCTCTTAAAAGACACCCTGGACATTTGTTACAGTACGTCACTGTCAGTATGGATATACGCAGGTTTGAAAAAAAGTCAGGTGTAATGACAAAATTTAGAACGTTCAGGGATAATCAAACACAATTAAAATGAATTTCAAATTAAAAATGAGAGTGGAAAATAAACAAAACTTTGAATCACAGGTATTCGCCGCGTTGATTCAAACCGTAACTCCCTTTACCACCCCAGCCTTTCCCAAATCATCTAAACTACTGTATTGTTTATATAAAATGTGTTTAGATATTTGATGCATGATGTGGCAAATTGGTCTCGGACATTGAGTCTAATAATTATGTTGGATTTGTAGCAGGTTACCTGCGGAGAAATTACTGGTTACTTGAATTACTGGTTAGTTATCCAGTAAAACCTGAAGGCGAACGTCCTGATGTGAAAGATTTTATAACTAATAAACGGATTTTACATATAGATTGTCAACACGTCATATACGGTAACTTGATACTGTTCTAGATATTTATCGATTTTGGATTTTACTACCTTTAAACCATGTTAAAAAGTATAACTTTCCTTTAAGAGTGCAAAATTGGATATTAACTGTCGTGTGACCTAGCAAATTAACCATTGATTACCAAATTGTCAACGGTTCACTTAACATAGAACGCTTTTAAATGATATCCACAAATACGGGGTAAATGATAAATGATAAGGTTTTTGAAAGAATATTTTTTCCATCGTCGGATACCCACGATTGATAAACATGTCACATAACATGCAATGATAATGGTTCGGCCGTGGGTATCCGACGATGATTTTTTCATGTACATAAGATATGTAAATATAATACTTAATGTATCTTTTGTTAAGCTGCGCCGAAAGTTGCCTTTTGATGTTAAATGATTAATGTTAGATGTGTCGCAGGGGTAGCTTATTGCTTATGCAATGAATTTTCTTGCTCACAGTTGGAGTTATTTTATTAACTCGAATATTTTATCATTTGTCATAAGGCACATCTTTTTTTTGCCTCAGAATATATATAAACCAGGAGTCGTGCTGTTAAGGCGTTAATGAAAGATTTCCATTTTTTACTGCAAGTGTCTATTGGTGTGTTTCAAATGTAATATAATTCTATAGAAAATATTAAGTCAATTTTAATTTAATTTTTGGCCTCTCCCTTATGCAGTGCGCCAAAATAGAGAATACTGTTTTAACTCGCAGTGTGGGGACTTTTAGCGGATATTTTAGAAACTTCATACGTTTGATAATCTAAATACCCGGAAGTAAACTGTAACAAGACTAGTAACAAATATTAAAAGCAAACAATACATAATACGAAACAGAAGTAGCACTTCAATATAATCATACGATGTATTGATTTTATATTTTTTCAGACACCTTTCACCCCTTGATGACAAATTCAGATCAAACGTTCCGTAAGCAGAGACTTGAAGACGGGTCACAGGTTGAAGACTGCTATGGTATTGGTAACCAACCTGCCACATTTTTAGACCTTCATGATGACAGCATATTTGAAAATGAATATCACTTTCAAAACGAGGCTGTAACTAATCAAGAGGTCGATAGGTCAGAGGTTACAATTTATGACACACTTCAACGAAGAATACGTGAACTGGAGGACACCGTGTACTTGCGGAATAGAGAACTACAAAGGAGCAAAGTTCTTGAGAGGGATTTTGAAGAGGCGTTGATCACCATTGCTAAAAGGGACGTGGAGATTAGGCTGCTACGTGACAGCAAGGAGAAGTATTACAATGAACGAGCGTTTTACGAGCGTCAAGCCGCGGCGAAAACGCAGCAGTGCGAAAATTACGAAGAACGAATCCGTGAGTTGAATCTTCATCGTGTGGAGGACATGCAGAAGGTAAATGACGTTTTGGTTCCCCTCTTTACCGGATAACCGAATACGGGTGAATAGCACTATCAAAAAATGCACGCACAGGTTATACAGTATTATGTAAATAAGCATGCAATATGTACTTATAAGCATTTAAAAGTCTGTTTTGAAAACTTTAGGCCATTGGCTATTTTCTTATTTGGTCTATTATATATATTTGAGAATAGAAGTTGTTTATACAGTTATTATGATAGGGCCAAATCAAGAGAAAAATCTCTATCTTTTAAGATATTTATATACATGTGTTGTTTTGTTTGATAGATATGATACTGTTAAATTGTCATTCATGGAAAGTTTCCAGTTAAACACAAACTATATACTTAACAGTTTGATAATATTTTTAGTCTCCAAAGTTGGTCCGTTTATTCTAGAATAAAGGTCAGTGTAAAATTTAGTACTTTATGACTTACAAAATCTTATATTGCTGGTGCCCATGGTTGAGCCTGATCTTATGAATATGTAATGCAACGCTAAAATGGATATCACTGCACAAGGGTCTTGTAGATAAATTTCTTCGTATGTACTAAAACTGTCATCAACAATGGCACAATATAGTGTTAAAATGCATTGAATAGGGCTTTTTTGTCTTGAATATTTATATAGTTTATATAATTTATTATAGTTTTATTTTCTCTCCTGAACAGATAAGAGAGTTGGAAGAAAATGTCAACTTTTACAAAGAGAAGTGTGAACTTGATATAACACAGAGAAAAGTTTTACATGGATATCGTCTGGTCCAAAAGCATGAGGTATTGAACAAAATAAATGACTTTCAAATTCAAGATTTAAAGGCTAAAACACTTAAAAGAAAAACAAGGATTTTAAACCAATCTTCTTTGACAACTTCCGGAAAAATGCATCTAAATGAAGTAATTAATCTATTCACATCAATTTAAGTTCCCGTGTACTAAATATTAAAGTCAATTGTTTTAACTCGACCATTCGAATAATACGGAGAGTTATTGTGCCCATGCAGGCGATAGTGTCGGCGTCACACTTTGGTTAAGTTTCTGTTGGTATTTCGAAAACCATACTAAATGGAATGGGTTGAACTTTCACACACTTTATATAAGAGCATAATAGGAGGTCACTGTCTAAGGCCCATAACTCTGTCTTGGATTTTGACTTAATTATGGCCCTTTATTAACTTAGAATATTCTACAGTATCCAGGCTCTTGTTTTACTACCAAGCTCTGAACAACAACTCATTATTTTTGTACGTTCTCGCCCATCGTATCTAAAACTCATTTTAATAATAAATTCGTTTTTTATTAGGAAACCCCAACCGATTCTGGCATCGGGCATGAACCTAATGCATCTCCTCCAAAAAGACGACGTCACTTCCGGAAGTCTCTGACAAGTTTACCGAAATGTAGAAATTGTCAAACAGTGTTTGATCAATTGAGACCGCATGAGATTACATGCACCTTTCACCGAGCTTTACCACAACCCCTAAAGGTAAGTCAGCAATAATCCCTGCTGCATTTACGGAACATGTATTTATTTTCACGACTCTGTTTGTTTGTTTCTCATTCTTTCCCATTGTCCGTTGTGACTTCAAAAATCGATATTCCAAACTTTTTTTCTTAGCGTCATTAAGTATAGATTTATTGATTTTAATCACTCTTGGTTTAGGTTTTAAAGATTTGACCTTGACCTTAGTCATATTTAACCTGGTTCAATGTATGTCAAGTAAGCCTCTATTACTTGCCGTGTCAACCCATTTATTATTCATAAACTTCCCCTTTTAATCAATATTCCAGGCTTGGAAATCTCAAATGAATCTTGCTGACCTGCAACTGGACAAAATGGACCTTAACGGCTACATGTTTTGGCCATGTTGTGAGAAGTACGGTCTAAAAGAACCTCCAGGCTGTCTCAAACTGAAGAGTCACGAAATTATCTCCCCTGATGAAGAGTAACAATTTACCAGTCAGTTATGAGATATATTCAGCTCATTCTAGGTGCCATATATTTATATTTACAAAACATTTACAGAAAGTTCGATTATAAGATGACATTTCAAACAGTATTACTTTCATACAGTTGACTTTATTTCTATCTAACAACCGATGTAGTCTAAATAAAGGGTACAGAAAGTATAAAAAAAGGGAAAAAATAATGATTTGGCACTGAATGTTTGAAATACTTGTACATGTATATACTTCAATATTCATTTTGTAATTAATTTTTTTTACGATCTTGGATTGCATGTACTTTATACGTTTTGTGTATATTGATTCTTTTTTGCTACATTTCTATCTAAAAACCGATGTGGTCGAAATGAAGGGTACAAAAAGTATAAAAAAGTGTAAAAAATAACGATTTGGCACTGAATGCTTAAAATACTTGTACATATATATATTTCAGTTTTCCTTTTGTAATTGAAAATCATATTTTTATGCTCTTTATTTGCTTGCAGTGATAATGACCTACCTTTGCTACATGTACCACTATAAACCAGTCTGGCCAGACTGATTTTCATGTCTGTGAAATCTGAGCGGGCTTTACACTGTTTACTGCTGACAGGTGGTAATAAAACCCCTTTTAACTTACAGAATACAGTTTTAGAATTCGAAGCGGGACAAGTGTAATTCACAAATTTGGCTTGACAAAGGCTAATTGGCTATATAATATACGTACATTGTCATATTAAGACTCGTCTGCGCCAAGTGAAGGAAACCAAAAACGTATATAAATATCACTGATTCACCTTCTCACAAATTGTTTGTCCCACATTTTAACACTCCCAAAGTGATTTCCTCACATGCTCTGACGTATTGGGACAGTTTATCAGCAACGCCCATATAAATTCCACTATCGAATAAAGCACAGATAATATATGCAGTGTGGCTTATGCACCGGCTAATTGTTATTTACATGTAGCCCCCACCCTAAGGATCGGTCGGTGAATAGCAGGGATACATAGCCGATTTTTTTTATCTTTTGAACTTTTCAAATATGGGCAAAGGAATTTTTTCTACTGTTGTAAACAGTTTCCACTGGGCAGGGCAATTTGCGGGGATTGACCATCAAAAATTATCGTAGGCATTTGATGCATTTATGTTTGTTATCGAAATGGCCCAATAGATTATTTTGATCCGTTGTTTTGTTGATTTGTTCGGCGTAAATTATGTTGGGGTGGGGAAAAGGCGTTTCATTCCTTGTGTTTATTTATACTGTATAGGGGGTATATTTTGGATATTATCATTATTATTGATAGAATTTCAAGTTCCTGTGAATAGATATTATGTTAAATGAATTCAGTCTGCAGCGTATGACATGCTTATTTGAATATATAGGCGACAATGATAAATTGAACAAATTGTAGTTTAAGATTACATTCAAATGTCATAGATCTATGTTGTTTTGAAGCGAAATTTGCAAAATTATTCAGGAACTAAATGATTGGATATCAAACATGACGTCATGCGTGACGTATTTGTACAGCATGTTACAGTTAACGCACAGCATACATGGAAGACGACACAGTTGAAAGCTTTCTTGGAAATGTGTTCGTCTTAAGCTGCGGTCTCACTTACTCCCGGCAGAGCCCAGGACCATCCCGGTAAGTTACTGGGATGATCCGGGACGATCAGGGGTGAAATTATTGTTGCGGTTACACTTACCCCGGCAGCACTTCGTAGTTCCCAACTAACCACCAAGGATGCGCTCCGGATCATCCAGGCAGAGCCCAGGTGAAGCTACGGTCCATGCCGGTGCTTCCCCGGTCGTTCCCGGATTACGCCGGAATAGCCCTGGTTGACCCAGGCAGAGCTCCGGTCGATCCAGGCAGAGCTCCGGCAGAGCCAAGGACGATCCAGGCAGAGCCCCGGTAGAACCCCGGTGGATTGAAAACGCCCGAAAATTATAACATTGATACAAATTTTTTATTTAATATAATATCTATTGTTCCAGAATAATAATTCATGATGATTTTCTGAAAAATCCGTATGCCATACTGGATTGAAGGGAAATGGGAAGGGTTTTAATACAAACAAGTGCAATCATCGCAAATTGTCGTTTTTCTTTTGAAATGATCCGGGCTTTGCCGGGGCTCTACCGGGATCAACCGTAGCTCTACTTTTATCCTCCGGGGCTCTGCCTGTAGTTACCGGCGCTCTGCCGGCATATACCGGGGATCTACCGGGCTCTACCGGGGCTCTACCGGCTATATCATACCCCGGATCATCCCCGGTTCGTACCGGCAGAGCTACGGTGCTTCCCCGGTATAACCCCGGTCGTTCCCGGCAGAGCTAAGGATGAAGCCGGCAAAGCTATACCTTCCCGGATCATCCCGGACCACCCCGGTGATATTAAATATTTTATTTCATCCGGGGTCGAATGCCGGATGTTCCCGGATCATCCCGGATCATCCCGGACGTTGCCGTCAGAGTTACGGATGTACTCCGGTTGTTCCCGGTCGTACCCCGGTCGTTCCCGGATCACCCCGGACGTCTACCGGGGCTCTGCCGGGATGTAAGTGAGACTGTAGCTTTAACGTACTTGAGCAATGTATTTACAATCTCTTTGATATTTGTTTTAGCTAAATATTGTATATACATGTAGTCTGTAGATTTCTAATAAATAGTTTAAAAGTAACTTGAACTTTGTTTCTTGCTTGTTGACCTGATATATGATCTGTTTGTGTGAATATTACGGCTTTAAAAAATATAAGGATTGGGATTAATTTTGATTTAATGGTCAATTTATAACTAATCTATGTGTACTTCGAATTATTATTTACCGGTAATATAACATTTGTTCACCACTAAAATATAACTTCATTTGTTAACATATGAGACTAACCTTATACTTGCTGAAACTATGGTGTCCCGTTATGGCCATCGCGACACACACATAACTCGAAACATCGAAAACACGACGGTAAAAGGTCGAAATAACGAAACCATCATGGTGAAATTTCGAAAAAATGATGATGAAAAAGTCGAAATAACGAAACCACGATTGTATAAAGTCGAAAATTCGATGATGATAAGTCGAAATACCGAAACGACCATGGTGAAAATTCGAAAATAGAATAATAAAAAGTCGAAATAAGGAAACCACAATTGTGATAACTCTTCGTGTCTTCACCATTGCACTTTCGACCTTTTGCCTTCGTCGTGCCGTTGTTTCGTTATTTCGACTTTTCACCATCGCACTTTAGTTTTTTTTCCAGAAAACCATAAAACCGAACGTGATTGTAGGTAGCCCTTGCCATCAGTATGTATAGCCAGGCCAGCTTGCATATCCATGAAAATCTGACTAGATTTTACAATGTTGGATAACGAATTGATGTACTTTTTCATTGAAATCCATAAAAAAGTTGAATAAATTGTTCGAAATATAAGGCTGGACATATTTATTACAACGATTTTTTTTAGCAGGCGGTGGATTGGCAGGATATTTGATAATTGATAACAGGATTGGCAGGATATTTGATAATTGATAACAGGATTGGTAGGATATTTGATAATTGATAACATGATTGACAGGATAATTGATAACAGGATTGGCAGGATATTTGATAATTGATAACATGATTGACAGGATATTTGATAATTGATAACAGGATTGGCAGGATATTTGATAATTGATAACAGGATTGACAGGATATTTGATAATTGATAACAGGATTGGTAGGATATTTGATAATTGATAACAGGATTGGCAGGATATTTGATAATTGATAACAGGATTGACAGGATATTTAATAATTGATAACAGGATTGGCAGGATATTTGATAATTGATAACATGATTGACAGGATATTTGATAATTGATAACAGGATTGACAGGCTATTTGATAATTGATAACAGGATTGACAGGATATTTGATAATTGATAACAGGATCATTAACACTACTTGAATAATATTTATCAAATATTTATAGAATACGGCCAAGACAAAATAACATAAAATTCAAATGGTTAATCAAACACGTAAGACATAAACATTACAATACAGTGTGAATGAATAAACAACTCAACATTGTTTGCCTGTGCAAACTCTTTTTATTCAATAGCCAGTGTTCTTATTTTATCATGATAACATTTGTAACAATATATACTATATAAACTATGAAATTTAACTATTATTAAACTATTTATGACACACTGACATAATAGTAGGCCCAGTGCGCATTAATATGATTTAATAATTGTTAAGCTTTAAAAAATAAAACCATGTCTATTTGACTCAGACGTTAATGTGAAAGTCGGTCAACCGGTGATTTTATCTTGTAAAATAGTGTAGTCTTAAAACATAATTCTTCCGTAAATCTATACTGTATTTTTAAGTAAACCTATAATCCGTTAGTTGCCTACATGACTGTATGATATATACGTCTCACGGTACGGCATACGGCATATTTGCTTAAATGCTAGCGTAACTTTCATTAAGTTTTGCATTGTAAAATGAAGTAATTCTTCGACAATTACAATTCATACATAGTATACATGTATAGTGTTACGTTTTAATTGAACTAGTGAAATGTAAGTAAATATCATATAACATGTGGTAAGATATACTTTCTGGTAACAACCTGATATAGGTACTGTCCTATTTTATTTAATTAATAATATGTTGTTTAAGGTATTTTCATTTTTTTAAACTGATCGTGAATGTACCGTCAGTGACGATTACATCCATAATCTTCATGTAAAACTAATGATAAGTTTGGAAACGGCACAAACATGCTAAATGTTGTTTTAGGAGATGTAACTTAATATGTAGATTTTAGTTTATCCGTATAAACGGGTACGGTCGGTTTTTAGCCGAAAATTATTTTCAATATTTGACAAAGAGGCAAATAAAGTTGATTCTAAATATTAGCTTAGTTTTTTTTGTATAACAAGATATAACAATTAGTTTGTATTTAAGTTGTACAACACAATGCATTTTTCCGATCTGCCATAACGGAAAAAATTACGCCATATTTCGGTACTACAGAATGCGAGCAAATGTCATATCTTTTCATAAAGAAACAAAGTTAATATTGAAAATCTAACGGTTTTTTAGTAGGGTCGGTTAAACGTTTTACATGGTTATGAGGTCGATGTCTAAACGGATAGCATTTTTTCTAACAGTGACACCCCTAGATTTTACTACAAATAAGGCTGGTTTCTCATCAAGTGCGGCATATTTGACCTTTAAAAATAAATTCTTTTACTTTTATTTTCTTAAAAGCTTTTAATTTTTCTCAAAAGCTTTTAATTAAGTGTCCTTAATGTTTCATAGAAGTTACTCATTGGTCAATTATCTGAACCATCATTGCTTTTGTTGCGTGTTGGTAATTAGTACAGTTATAGTAATTTAAGTATTTTGTATCAAAGTCAAAATACTATTTTGTCTTCTATGATAATAAGTTCATATTCAGTGATACCTTCTGCATGTGATACGCATCTTACATGCTCAAAATCCCTAATTTAAACGTTATAAAGCTCATGTTTGCCCTTCCTAAAGAAGGAAAACAATTTTTTAGGCATAATATGCCTTAAAATCAATGGGAGATATTAAAACTTAAAAAAAACTCGTTGAAAAAAATTTCTTTGTTGAAATCACCCTCACTGTACCAACTAAAGTCGAACAAGTTATTTAAATTTCTTATTCAATTCTTCAATTATATTCATGAGATCATGTTTGACAAGCGCTGATAAGGTAAGCTTATTGTTAAGATTAATAAATATCATTTTGAATGAATTGGTGTTGAGAGATAAATCTAAAAACAAAGTCTATATGAGCTGAGTCACGGCAAAACCAACATAGTGCGTTTGCGACCAGCATGGATCCAGACAGCCTGTGCACCCGCGCAGTCTGATCAGGATCCATGTTGTTCGCTATCAGTTTCTTTATTTGTAAAAGAGTTGGTAAGCGAACAGCATGGATCCTGATCAGACTGCGCGGATGCGCAGGCTGGTCTGGATCCATGCTGGTCGCAAACGCACTATGTTGGTTTTGTCGAGACGCGGCTCATATTTGGGTGACAAACTCGTATGTTTATATGACAAGCACATCTGGTTTTTACAATTTAGTGATGTATTAATCAATTCTACCCCTGACATCATATATTATCTTGTCATTAAATAAATTACGAAACATTTATGAAATTTTACTGAAACAGTAAGCTGTAGTAATAGAAATTTGATTTAAGTATCAATACAAATAACGTAAAACTAAGTACTAACGAAATATCCCTACATGAATAAGGTAAGAAAATAATATGAAACGTCCACTGACAAAATATTCATAATAAAAATAATATACAGCGAAATATACGCACATAAACTATATAAGAACGCAGAATAAAACGTCCCCTAACAAAATATTCAACAGTTTCTATTTTTAGTAGTTTTAGCGATGACTTCATGCCAAGTCGAAAATGTACAAGGGTCGTTTTTACAGTAAGATAATTAGGTTTGATTAATTGAAAGGTAAAACAACAACAACAACAAACAACACAAGAAATAAGCTAAAATAGCTTTTCAAAACACTTAAATAACAATAAAAAACAATGTATTGCAACCTTTGTCATTTTTTACGATTATGTCCGACATGTGATATACCCAAAATAAGGAAGGATTGTACTATTTAAAACCTGACAATTTCACTTAAAGTATATAATTTATTACGTTTGAATTAACCTTTAAATAGCCGTTCAGTAACTATCATTTATCTCCGAAATTGTATAGCTTTATAAATCATGATATCATATTACTGAAATCGTAATGTATTACCTGTCTATTGATTTAGATTTAGTTAAAGGCCCAGCATGCTTGTGGAATGTTTTTATTTTACTTTTGTTTTTCAAAAGTCTTTTATTTTTCTTGTCCGGTTATATTTTCAAAAAGATACTTATTAGCCAATAACCAGAACCATTTCTTTCTTCTGTTGCCTTTGGTTATAAGTTCAGTTATATTGATTTAGTATTTTGTACGGAAGTCAAAATGCTACTTTGTTTACATTTCTCTACTTATATGACTGATAATTTCCCATTCAGCACTACTTTATTCAGGTAATATGCATCTAACATGCTTTTAAACCATTATCTTAACGTTATAAAACTTATACTTGCCCTTTTACAGTAGGAAATAGTTATTCGTTTCTGAGACATTATGTGCCTTTAATACTTGGACTGGTAACAAATTTATATTCTATTTGTACGGAAGCGATGAATTTATTTTACATGCAAAATTGTTCATTCACTTAATTCAAAATATGTTCCGAAAATATGGTATTTTTTATTCTATTTTTCGCCAAGATTTGTATACATGTGCAATACATGAGTGTAGGTTCAGTACTGAATTAATAGAATATTAATACTTTATTCAACCAACGAGTTCAATAATTTTAGTAATAAAGATAAACGAACACAATGTTATATTCATCAAATTTTCAAAAATAAGAACAGTTTACAGGGAAAAAAATCATTGGGGTGCGCATACTGTAATAACGATAACATCAGAATTAAGTTGGTCTAGAGTTCCTCCCCCTTACACTTCGTTATAGGTACTTTCCGTACTATCTATAAATAGTCTGTTTGGGATTCCATTTTACGAGTATATAGTCTACCGTTTTCGCAAAACTTCACACTTTGTTA